CCCGAATTTAGGAGCCTAAATAACTACCACTACTTTTTTGTGTTTCCTCATTTGTTTATAGTATAAAAGGCCCCAAAACCCTTTTCTAACAATTAAGATTCTCCGGGGAGCCCTCCTCATAACTTTACCATGCTATACTGCGATACTGACATCCCTAGTGCAGCTTTTAACAATTTTAAGGCCGGCTAAATTTAGTCCTAAACTCTCAGCCCTGCTCGTTTTTTAGCCTTAAGCTGGTGGCGGCATTCATGAACCCATGCAGGACGACTCCGAAGAAGAGGCGGCTGGGTGCATGGCATGGGTGAAGAGCGCCAAGGACGAAGCACAGTAATAACAAGTACTGTTTGCAATAGCTGTGGTACTGAAACAGCAGAAACGCAAGTAACCAGCAGGTGTTTTTGTGTTCATTCGCCCAAAAGCCAAAACCCCAAACCCTAAACCCTAAACCCTAAACCCTAAACCCCAAACTTCGGGCTAGTGTGGCCGTGGTTCTCTTGGAACTGCTGTCCTGGCCTGGTCTTCAGGTGCCCCTGTTAGTACTGTTGATGGACAAAATCCTGCATCACCCTTTATAAGGAATATACCATAGTTCCCATAGTTTAGAGTCCTTAGGGTCATGCAGGATTATGTCCATCAGCAGTATGATATTGTCAAAGTAAAGTATAACACAATACGATACAATATAGAAGAAGAACGTAATATCGATGGCCAGTGTTCATTCGTTTATCAATGATCAACCCTAAATGCTTAACATAGAAGCCTAAGAGTTGCCAACTTTATTGCTTAGGGATCCTTGTTACAAGTACATGGTGACCTGCGCCAAAATCGTATTTCAGTCATGAAGTCGCCTGTAATATAGGGGTGTTCATAGTTAGTTACCTATACTATGCTGGGGATTATTATCAAGTATAATGGGCCCAAAACCCTATTCTACTTATTAAGACCCCCTACATTAGAGTACCCCACTCTAGATCCCTTATAGACCCCTTTTTAAGGTTCCCTTTTAAGAAGGAATCCTACTCGAATCATTAAGGCCCCTTTAATCCTCGACTCCTTGGCTCCAGGCTAGGATCAAGACTCGACCCGAAGCCCTCCAGTCTTTGCCCTCGAGCATTCAAGCCTTAAGCCCTAAGCCTTTCATGCTTAGAATAGGGCTCCTTGAAGGGATCCTTAAAGAAATATATAGTAGGGTTCTATAACATAGGGGGCCTTGAGCCCCAAACCCTTCACTCCTTAAAGGAATTCTTACCGGGATCTGTAGTAGGGCTCTTGAATAGAAGGGGCCTGGAGCCCCAAACGCTTAAGGTAAACCTTGGCAGGATGCCCCAAACGCCCTGTAATAGAGCCCGTATAATCCTAAATAGTGGGTATTTGGGGTATATTAGAGGATACTTGGGGCGGGGGGTCTAGGCCCTTACATAACCCTAAGCCCTGACCAGCCGTCAGGTTTGTCATATTAAATACTACAGGATTGTACATTTAGTTACACTTCATCTTATGTGTATGTGTAATACTATCTGCTACAAGGGGCAGAGAGAATTGGGGCTCAAGGGCCTGGATGCCGTACAGGGTGTGAGGCTTAGGGTTTTACGTTTTACGGGTATTAGGGCTTGGGCTGCAGGTTAAACGTGTTTTGGGTTTGGGTTTTGGGCCCACACTGCAATCACAAGCCCAAACCACCCGAAAGCGCTGACAGATGCCGCACGAACTGTCGGGCTGGACGGAGGACATCGTGTTGTTGATCGTCAAGTGACGCGCCATCCGATTAGGGTTTAGGACGGGCTGCGGCTTCAGGTGAATTTGTTTTAGAGGTCGTAGGTTCATTCGAGGATGTTGTAAGCTATAAAGGATCAAGTGATGCCCCATATTTTCCGGTTTCAAAGCACAGACTTGAATGATGGGGGCTGAGACTTGAGGCTCAAGGCTCAAGTATTTGGCTTTGCACCTATTTGTGTGTACGGAGTTTGGTTTTCGGACGTAGGCTTCTGCCTTTTGGGTGTCGGGAGGCGGGAAGCAACAGTGTCATAAGAGTTTTTCTGTCGCCTTTCCTGTCAGTTTGTGGCACAAGTGATGCCCGATTGAGATGCTCATGTTGAGGGTCAAACGAAGAAGAAGAGGCTGACACTTGTGTCAAGCGTGTATGAAGAACTTGAAGGGACAAAGAGCCGACAAAGCAAAGTCAGGTAGCAACGTCAGATTCAGGGTTTAGGGATTGTGATCAAGTGTGTATACACGTGTGCATGCGGTGGGTGCACTTCTTCAGGCGGCTCACCCGCTTATCTCGTGCTTGCGTCAGCAGGTAGTCCCGCCGCAACCACCCCAACTTTGCCCATTTGGGGAAAACGAGCAGTAGGAATCATCAAGGGGAAACCTCAAGTGGCCGGAGTTCGAGGCAATACCCTAAGGGTCCATGTACTCATATAGTATATACATGGGCCTTAATGTAGTCCCCATATAGGTACTTTGAGGCTCATGTATCTCTATATGGGTACATGGACCCTTAGGGATAGACAGCCGGGTGCCTTCAGGTACTATTGTCCTATCAAAGAGATCATCGTTACCTTGGGCGTGGGCCTCAGCATTGTTCCAGTGATGTCTGTTCTTCGTTCCCTAATCCCTAAACCCCTAAAACCCTAAGCCCTGCCACCCTAACACCCCTAAACCCTAAACCCTAAACCCTAAACCCAACCCTAAACCCTAAACCCTAAACCCTAACACCCCAAAACCCGCCCTAAACCCGGAACATTAAATCCTAATCAAGCCCTCGTAGGGCCCCAAAAGCCCCTGCAGGCTTCAACCTAGACCCCAAAGGCCTAAAAAATCGCAAAAGTTTTCAGCCCGAAAACCCGAATACTACACCCAAAACCCAATTCTAGCGATTGAGGCACACTTATTGTGTTGAGGGTAAGTCTCGAAATCAGCGACCGGTTCTTCAACGTCTGGGAGGTTTGAAGTTCCTCATGTTTCGGCGGAGTCTTTGTCTCTTCATAGCGGCACCTAGACCTCGCAAAGGAGCGTCGTGACAACATCGTCTTGTCGACAGAAGCTGGCATGGCCTGGCGACTGCAGACCAAGGGAGCTCTCGGTGACAATTGCCAGTTGATGCAGATGTCATTGGCCATCCGAAGCCTTGCTTCAGCACTCCAGTGGTGAAGGCGACCTTTGCCTGGATGTGGTTCAGTGGTACACCTTTCTACTTTCAGGTTTCTGGGTTCCTATTTAAAAATAAGAAGCCTCAAAAAGTATATACTTTTCCCCAGTGGGTTACTAAACAGCCTAGGTAAGAATGGGAGTGTTGGAAGACCCGGGACTGAGACCCCCTACATTCAAAGCAATCATAGCTAGGGACCACTTTGGCCCACACTGGGTCCTTGGGTGCAGGGTTCATAGGGTTTAGGGCTTAGGGATTTGGGTTTAGTGTTTGGCTATGCAAGGCAGAGCAGACCCCGGGGGATGGGACAAGGCCCCGGGTAGGAGGTTCCTCACAGTGCCTTTCTTTCAAAAACAGTAGTTCATAAGGTTTAGGGTTTAGGATAAACTCACGACCCGTCTTCAGGAACCGAAGCATGCGACAACCGTTGGGTTGCAGAGCTTGCAAGATGGGAGTTGTTTCTCGATTTTCCCATGCACTAAAAAATCTTTACGGCTTGGGGTGTACCATCTTGGGTAGATTGGTGGTGCCCCCTCGTGCTACGACAGTCAGCTGTCATAGGGCTAACATAGCAAAAAATGGCATAGCCGTCAGAGGAAGTTTCCCCAAAGTAGGGGTCTGAGTGTTGAGCAATCGTATCCCCCAAGTCACTACATAGTTATCGTAGACTATACCCCCCAAACCGTTTGCGAATTGTTAAGGCTCCTCTGTGAGATTCCGTGACGCAGCTGTGGATTGGGGAAACAGGGGCTTTTTTCTTGTTTGCATGTCCTGGCTCGTCTGGCCGTAAAGTCCTAGGTGCTTCTGGGCTATTTTGCACTTTCTGTTGTCGGCTGACTGTAGAACCCTGGCCGTGAATAGCGTTGGGTGTTGTCGAAATCGATGCAACGTAGATTCAGCCCGAAAGACCAAGAACTTTCCGCCCCAACTTTAAGCTAATTCCTAAGCGCCTTAGCGCCGTAGCCATTTTGGCTCAAGGTCGACACTCTCTGCTCGAGACGCATCTTTCTACTTTTCACTTTTCGGAATCTCTTGGATGATGGCTGCAAAGCCCCGCATGACTTCAATGACCAAGAACGAACTCGCTGTACTGGCGAAATTCACAGCTTCAACAGCGAGCCAGACAGCCGGTGGTTTGGTCGAGAAGTCCGGGACGACCAGTCGAGTTGATGAGCTGCTGGCTAACGGCTCTGCCATGACAGTCCCTGTACCTCTCCTGCCGAATGGATCAGTGGAGGCCCTGGTGATTCTGATCTGCCTTGTGGCGAACCCGCTCCCTGGCACTGCCATCATGGTGCTGCTCGCATACTGCGCCTACTTCACCGACGACAAAGGCCTGGCAAACACAATTGGCATGGGCGTCCGTGATTATGCCTTGCGCGAGGGTGAGTCTGCAGTCGAGTTCATGCAGCGATACTACCAAGAGTTTAATGGCACTCCTAACGAAGCGGTCATGGAGATCCTGAATGACGAGAAGAGCCCCACTGGCTGCTGCCTCTCTATTGCTGTGTGCATGCTCCTGCTTATCTGCGCTAAGCAGCAAAGTGGAGCAACGGCGGCCACCTATATGCGCAAGCGTCTCACGGCCTTCAAGAGAACGTTCGAACTGATATGTCCTGAGGTTAACCTGCTTGATGGACTGACAAACCCTGCCTTTGTGGACGAGGTAGCCTAGATCGCGAGAGCCGCCCCTAAGCTGGTGGCGACGCTTTTCGACGTGGTGCGAAACGTGTCTGCTTCTGCGTCTGAAGCAATCTCGCGACCAGCTACTACGACCCTCTCGCTAGTAGCGTTTTCTCAGATGACTCCATTAGTTTTGGCACTGAGGTTCGCTCTCACGACCCCAGGGATGGATTCAGTGCCGGAGCTTACTGTGGAGCTCAAGAGATTGGCTGCCGGCCTCCTTGCGGTCGAATCGAGCAATGAGCGGCTTGAGTTCGCCCGCATCAGGGATGTTTCTGGCGCCGGACTCCTTGCTGGAAAGAGCTTGCCGAATCTGGCGACAATCGGCAAGCGCATTGCTATCCAGATGGAAGGCGATCGGTGGTCGCAAGTGAAGCTCCCGGCAGGATCATCAGAAACGGTTGTGGCAGCTGGAATGTTCATGCACGGCATGAACGCTACTAAGATTATAGAGATTGGCGAACCAAGGGAGGCACCCGACGATGAAGTCTGAGCACTGGTGTCGATCTTGAGACTCGGAGCAAGCCATCCAAGCTAACCCGCGACTCGTCTTTCGTTGCTTGTGATGCGCGCGAATCAAAAAAAAAACTTCGTTTGCGTCTGTCGACTCTGCGATCCGCCGAGAAAAAAGGGCCTTAGCCCTTAAACCCTGGACCTGTTGAACCCCAAACCCCACCCTACTCGGAACCCACCTTCTGCGTCCTAAGTCGTAGATCCTAAATTTCATCCCCGCCGGCCCCGAAGCCCTACCCTACAGTTTAGGGGTTTAGGGATTCAAGGGTTTAGGGTTTAGGGTTTAGGGATTCAAGGGCCGCGACCGGGTGCTGAGGCAGCTACTACACCCAGAGGTGCAACCCTCTGAAGGCCAGTCCTGATTGATCTTCGCACCGTTTAAGAGGGTGGAGTTTAAGGTTCGGTTTGGGTACGGCCCCCACTCAGTAGTAGTTTAATAATATTCATAATACAGATATATTAGGACCTTAATAGTAGCCCTATTTTAGACTCTTACTGTAAGGGGGCAGTACCTAAGGTTCGGTGTTTGGGGTTTGAGGGCTCAGGGTTTAAGTTAGGGTTTATGGTTCGGGGCATGGTGATTAGAGCTTGGAAATTAGACTTCTGGGGTTGGCACAGACGCCTTGAAGTTTTCTTAGGGGTACTTAGTAAATTTCAATTTTTGGCTATTATAATCCCTAAAAACAGCTAGACTTATGATTTTTGCTAGGGTTCTAAGCTCAGTATAGTTTTCGCTTCAGGAGTTGAAGACTGAAGGAGTGTTGAGGGTCGCCAGCAGTTGACATGTGGGTGGTTGTCAAAATTAGGGTGCCTTTTCGGGTCCCTTTTCGGGTCCTTATTAGGGTTTAGGGTTTAGGGTTTGGGGTTTATAACACGGCACTTAATTTTTAGGGCACCCAACAAGGGACCCTAATTTTGACAACCACCCATGTCTGTTGCGGAGCTCCTTCTGCACAGCTAGTCCTAAACCCTAAACAACAGGGTGCGGCATCGTCTATGCACGCCCAAATGGGCAGTTCCGTCGTGACGGCGAAAGGCCATTGCTACATTTTTAGGGCTCCTGGTTCTACTTTCAGTCTACAAGTCCTGAAGAAGGTCGGCTGTGTGGGGCTTCAGGTCGACCCCAAACCCGAGACACAGGACAATAAACCTGCCACACGCAAGGTCATGATGGAACCAGTGGAAACCTGCTGGTTCGAACAGAGGCATGGGGTTAGGATTAGGGTTTAGGCATTTGGGTTTGGGGTTTTGGGTTTAGGGTTTAGGGATTTGGGTTTGGGGCTTGGGGTTTAGGGATAGTAAGGGGCGGCCAGATTGCGTGGTAGATCTGACTATGTACCCTTGAACCTTCCTTCCCTGGCAGAGTAACCCAGCCAAAACTGAACGACTATGGTAGTCCCTAAAACTCTAAACCCTAAACCGTCTTTCAAGTCAGGAAACTAAGCAGCCGGTAGCAGCAGAAAGGCTTACCGGCTAAAGGGCCGAGGTTTGGGGGTTTAGGTTTCGTGGTGGAAGAGGCATGCGGGTTCAGGACTCTAGGACTCTAGGTTTCTAGATTGTCGGTCGGGGATGGGCATGCAGGATTTACAAGGTTTATATTTCCGCCGTGGTCTGCAGAGCTTTATGCAAACATCTCATGTCACACCGAATGGCATTGTCGGTTCGAACACAGCCGCATAGCGTGTCATCAACTGAAGTGTGTGTGTGTGTGTGTGTGTGTGTGTGTGTGTCTTGTCTTACCCTACCCTGCGTGAGGTGCAGCCTATCCTATATACGGTGAAGAAGCAACCCCAACCCCCTGTGGCAAACCCCGAACTCTAAGCCCGTCTTTTAGCTCGAGAGGCATGTAGTAGCTTTTCTTCGCTTATAATATGTCTCTTGTCGCTCGCTCGTAAGACAAACCTGCATCAGTACTGAAAACCTCGGGGCTCACAAGTTCGAAGGATATGCCAAAGCCATATCCTGCTCATTAAGCTCCCTGTGTTAAGCATCTTGTGTGCCTCTCTTTAGCGCTTGCTGGAGTTCCGACACCTGGGACTTTCTTCAACCCTAGCTCACAAACCTTCAGGGTATTAACTGAACCCGCAAAGTGTAACAGGCCCTAGGTTGTAGATTCCCAGACAGCTCTCATCCAGGATGAAGGGCTTGGAAGACTAGTTCGCAACAGGGCCTTTGGCAATAGATTTAAATTAATCTATCCACCGCCATCGCCAAGCTTTCCGAATATTTCTGCAAGTACCAAGGTAATAGTAGTAGCAGCAGTGGTCACGGTCGCGGTGGCGATGCCAGTAGCAGTAAACGTTGCGGTAAAAGTAGCATTAGAAGTAGCCGTGGCAGTAGCAGTAGCAGTAGTAGAGGACGAAAATAGCTGCTGATACTGCCATGTGCCTTGCTTCTAGCCCGATGCTACTTGAACTACATTTAGTGTGCGGCTAGCTTTTACTTCTTCCATGATGCTGATGGTGATGATGAGGATGATGATGATGATTAATACTGCTATTGCCACAACAACAGCCTACTATTACCAGTACTGCAGCTGTTGCTGCTACTACGACTCCTCCTCCTGCTACTTTTACGACTATTGCCACTACCACCAGCACTACTGCTACTGTTGATGATATAAATCCTGCACTGTCTTAAAGACCCTAAACTATGGGAACTATGGTATCTTCCTTTTTATGTGTAATGCAGGCTTTGTATCATCAACCGTATGACGAATTCCTCGCAGGCTAGATCTTTTCATGGCCAAGGGCGAGGCCCCATGCCAGGGTTTAGGGTTTAGGGTTTAGGGTTTAGGGAATTTCGAGACCTAAGACCCTCTGAAGTCGAAGACCTCAATCCCTAGGTACGCTTTAACCAGGTGTCTAGGGTTTGCGGATTTATGCTGTAAGGGTTTGGAGTTTTCAGAGTTTAGGTTCTTGAGGGTTTGCAACCCTAAGCGGGTTTCAGGTTCTTGATTTGCGATCAGGGTAGCTGCCGGAAAGTGGGAGTATGATTATTCTTGTGACTCCCAGGCCACAGAGGTCCTTAAGCTTTGGAGCTCACTTTAGGATTGAGGGACGATACCAGAGGGCCTTAATAAAAGGAACAGGGTTTTGTGTTATATTATCCGCCTATAACTCTAATAAGGAACCCCCCAACATGGTATTGGTAATTATTTAGACTTCTACATAATGGGGCTGCAAGCTTTGTCCTTTAGGGCACCCGAATGCAGTTGTAGTGTGAAGCCGAGAGGCATTCCCAGTCCCTCGTAGTTCTGAGTATTTCGCAATAACAAGTCGCGTTTCTAGTTCCTGCATATCCCCGCACAGAGAACCCCATCGAACCCAACTCCCTCTAACTATGGGATAAGCTTTCTCAAAGTTTTAACAGGCTCCAGATTATGATTTGAGGTATTCTCCATAGCTAAGTGGTGTCAGAACCTTAATACAAGTGCTCCAGCCAGTGTTGGAGGACCCTTATGAAATCCTCTTCAAACCCTATTCAAGCCTGAACGACCTGACCTCATGATTCAGGGGCATCTGATGAACCCTAAACCCAAAACCCAAAACCCTAAACCCTAAACCCTAAACCCCTAAACCCATACGTACCCGGAGCTTTCAACCCAAAACCCAGAAGCACTGTAAACAGGAAGCCCTACATTCTTAACCCAGAAGTACCCCAAGCCCCTAACCTACACCCATGGGTACCCTCGACCTTCAACCCTCCACACTAAAGAGCCCAGAAGTATCCCCAGCCCTAAGCCCTAAGTCCAGTAGTTGGAGCCATAAGTACCCTGAGCCCTAAACATGACACCACCCACAAGTACCCGAAACCCTGATACTTTGAGCCCAAAGCCATATAGAACACATAAGTCCCCCAAACTGTGAACCCTAAATATAAGCACCCGAAGCTCTAACCTCTAAACAACCCATAAGCTTCTTCAACCTTAAATCCTCAAGCTGTAAATACCCTGAGCCCTAATCCCCCAAAGCCCAACCCCAAACCCTAAACCATCCTTAGATACCGTAGGATACCGTGCCCTGAGCCCTATTATCATCCCGGAAGTACCTTAAATCCTCAACCTTCAGCCCTTAACCCGTGACCTACAACCCTACATGCTAAACTTATAAGCTCCCTAATCCCGGAAGCTTAACCTCTGCACCCATAGGTACCCTAATCCTTAAACCCTCCAGTACCCTAAACACGAGAGAACCCTAAACACGAGAGAACCACAAGTGCCCAAAGCCCACGAGGGTTCTCCGGGATCGGAAGTCCCAAAGCAGGTCGCTGCGCCCCGCGTGGACACGGAGTTTGTGTGCTTTGCGGAGCTGTCCCCGAATCCCAAGGACCCAAAGGGCTGAGGGTTTTGAGTTTAGGGTTTCGAGTTTAGGGTTTAGGGTGAGGGGTCAGGCGCTTGGGGTGTCAGGTTTGGGGTTGAGGGTATAGGCATACGGGGTCTTTGGGTATAGGGTTTAGTGATTGGACTGTAAGTGGCCTGACTTATAGCTTTTGGGATTGAGGGCTCTGGCGTGATAGTTTGCTTTTACTACCAACAGCCCCTTTGTATTACTATGTATGCTCCAAAGGCCCGGTCAAAACACAGCCCTAAACCCTAAAACCAAGGGTGCAGGAGACTCGCATCTTCGGAGTTGATTATGGAAAGGATTCTGCGTATGGCAGAGTCGCGCAGTTCAGGGATGTTTCGGATATTTCCTGAACCCAGAGGGTATATACACTACTTTTATGGAATTAGGTACCGAAAGACCACCTCGTATGGTTTTGGGGACCTAATTCCATAATGGTAGTGTATATGGACCCTCTGGGGAAGCCCTAATGAACGCTAGTCTAAAGCGTCTCGGATGGAACGCCAGGGCGAGCAGACTTCTCGGCCACAAGCAAGGTCCGAAACCCGAAACCCCCAGCCTAAAGCCTCACGTTCGAAGTTTGACAGCTTTGCGAGCCAAACCTGGCACATCTTGCGTGAGCCAATGTTGGCAAGTCCTCCTCATACGCGTAAACTTTAACGTGAACCATGGACACTGTCGCTGCGCTCGGTTTCCTTGTGGCCCGTGTACCGAAGCCCCAAGCCCTAAAGCTGGAGCGAGATGCGTAGCCCTAAGTCCCTTCAACTGTTGTCCCGCAGGACTTACGGCTGCTCAATACAGAGCGGTCCGTGCACATGGAGGGCTTGTGCGCCATCATCATCATCATCAGCAGCAGCATCATATTAATCATCATCATCATCAGCATCATCATCATCACGAGCGTCATCATCAGTATCATCACCATCATCATCATCATAATCGCTATCATCATCAGCCTCACCATCAACGCCACAATGGCCATCGTCGTCATCATCGTCATCATCATGATCAGTTTCGTCATCAGCATCAGCATCAACATCAGCATCACTACCACAGCCATCATAGTCTTGACGCCCATCACTTATCGAAAGCCCAAGCAGATCCACAAGAATCCTCATAAAGGAGCCTTACAAACGCTGATGTGCAGGCCCTCGTTATGAAGCTGAATCGAACATCGAACTTTTACCAAAGCCCCGACAGGGCCGTGTGAAGGGAACCCCTAAATCCTAAATCCTAAACCCTGAACCCTAAACTGTATGAGGTACTGTGGGGATGTGGTCATCTGGCAGCCGATTTTCGAGCGCCCCATCGACATAAACATGGACGGTGCCAGTTGCAGCCAGGGCTTCGCAGAACTTGAGGGTTTGGAGGGTTAGTGTAGGGCTTCAGGGGTTTAGGGGTTTAGGGGTTCAAAGTTTAGGGGTGTTTGGCGGTTTAGGGTTTCAGCGCTTTTAGGGCTTTAGGGGTTGTGGGCCTGGGATTTAGGGATTGGGCATGGGGTTTAGGACAGGTTTTGTGCTCAGGGGTGTGTAACCTTTTAGAATAGTTTTCATGGTGGGCGTAGGTTGGGGGTGTTAGGTTTAGCCGCACGACTTCTGGAACCCTAAACCCCTGCACACACTAAACACAGCACCCTAAATCCTAAGTCCGAAACCCAAAACCCTAAAAGCAGGAGATCTAGGCCGCTCAAGCCGATGGTGGAACGTGCCCGACAGCCGACGATGACCAACTACAACGCTGACGACAAAAAGCCAGATCGTGTGGCAGATTCGTACAAGCCAACTATCTTCATCCAAGGAGGTCTGGTCATGATTGTGGCTCGGCACCACCGAAGACATCGGCAGAATGGAATGTTGGCGCAGCAGAGGATGCTCGCATTTAGGGGCCAAAAGAACACATGCACGGTGTTACACCAGTCAGTCATAGCGGACGTATTCCAGCCGGCGGGGGGGGGGGGGGAGCCCTTAGCCGAAAGCCGGAGCCCCAATCGCATGATCCTTAGCCGGAACGCCGTAGCCTTCAAACCCTAAACCCTACATCCTAAACCGGAGCCCCTTCCTAGTCCCTGCGGCTCTGCGAATTATCGTTTCAAACAACCCTGAACTCCATACACACCACTTACGAGAAGCCTTACAACAGCCCTGAAAAAGCTTTCCCCTTAACCCCCATACCATTTACCATACACTACGGTTGATGATATAAATCCTGCATTACCTTAAGGACCCTAAACTATGGGAATTATGGTATATTCCTTATTATTATGGGTCATGCAGGATTTATACCCCCAAACCCTAAACCCTAAAACCCTATAGATCCCTTAAAGGAGCCCCTTAAACGTACCCTTATAGATCCCCTTTAATAATGGATTTAAGTCATCAACACTAGGGGCTGCCGCGGGTTTTTCTGAGGGTTTCGGCTGCCTGAGTTCCAGAACCTGGCCCTGACCCTTAGACCCTGAATTGATAGAAGCAATTAATTAAGGAACCCGTAAGCTTAAACCCCCAACGTTAAAACCATGTGTGTATATATATATATATACATGTATGTATAATATTGCATCATATTACATTATATTATATGCACATATAATCCCGTAAAGGAATCCGAAAGCCTTAAACCCAGAACCTGGCCAGGGGTCGAGCCAGAGGAGCGGGTCTGGGTCGCTGCTTGCTCTTCGTGTTCATCACAGCTTGTTGCGATTATGATTGCTGCTGCGATCATAAAAATCACGGTTATGATGGTTAACAGTAGAATATACTGATAATCATGTGATGAGCAGAAGCAACAATAATCGTAATCGTGTAGATGTGTTTGTCATCTGGGTTGTAAGCCTACCAGGTTCTACCAGACTGTGGTTCTGATTTCACCTTAAGCCCTCAACTCTGAACCTACCTAAACCATAAACTCTAGTGTGATCATATCTGGTGTTGCGAGACTTCGGGCACGCGGGCAATATCCGATGCAGAGCACACGAGAACCCGATGCCCTCGCACCTAAAGTTCGGCATTCGGCTTAAAATTCCATAGGGCCATAGGGTTTTTTGGCTTGCTTTTCATTGAGGTCTACTTTCTCCCCTAAGCCCTAAACCCCTTAGACTGTGTTTTCTCCGGCCCGGCCAGCCCGGTTTACCCTGACACACAGCTCGCTTGCAGAGAGTCTTCATTCTGGATAAGGGTTAAGAGAGTAGAGTTTAGGGTTTCGTCCGCATACCGAGAATGACGTTACACAAAACACAACGAGTGATAGTGCTGATGACGATGGTTGTGATGGTGGTGATGGAGCTGAGAATGAAGATCAGATGACCATTGTCATTCTCAGAATTCGGCTACGCTAAGCGCTGCTCCTCAGAGCCCGAAACTCTGCAAACCTCTGACCGTACAACCCGGGACCCTATATAAAGCCTCGTTTAGAAGTGAGGGTTTAAGGTTTCCAGCTTAGCATTTAGGGTTTAGGGTTTCGAGCTTAGGGTTTGGGGCTTAGCGATTAAACTGCTAAGAGTACATCTGTCTCGAGGAGTCACCAGTGCGGTGCCTGACCGTGCAGGACGCTGCGGACTACGGGATATCCTTTGGACCATAGAGGTTTCAAATCCTAAACACCTTAAAGGCTTAAACCCAATGTAGTAAGTTAAAGTACACGTTCCTGATTCAAGGGTGTTACGAACCTCCTAGGCACCCGCCAGAACCCCTTCCTGCAGCGCTGCGGCAAACGAACAGTATTGCTTGACCTGAAGAGGGCTCTATGAGGACCCCCCAATGGTCCTTTAATGGAACCATTATGGTCCGTAATAATTAGTGGGTGTTTAAGGTTAAGCATGAGGGGATGTATTGGGTCTAGGACGGCTTAGAGTTTCAGGAGTTCAGGGGTTTAGGGCTTTGGGCTCCAAGTCCGGAGTTTGAGGCAGATTGCGATCTGGGAGTTTCCGAAAAGGGGGATACCTTATTCTGGGGTCCTTATAATAAGGATTATACTATTTGGTGTACTATATTAGGGTCCCCTATTTTCAGAAAATCCCATGTGTGTTGTGCTGCTACCAGGAACCCAGGCTTCAACTCGAAACCTTGCCTAAAACAGAGATCATGAACCATATGGGTGGTTGTCAAAATTATGGTCCCTTTTTGAGTCCCTAGTGTAATACGGCACTTAATATTTACAGTCCTTTCTGTAATATTTAGGGTACCCCAAAAGGGACCATAATTTTGACAACCATCCATATACTAAACTTGACACCCTAAATCCCAAGGGTCTAGATCGGGTTTAGGGAACCCGAAACCGGAGTCGATGCAGGAGTTTGCCGAGAAGTGCCAGCCGTGCCGGCCAGTTTCCTCGACCTTGCACTTTGGACACTGACTTACGGTTGATGATATAAACCCTGCATGACCTATAATCAGGACTATACCATAACTCCCATAGTTTAGGATCCTTAAGGTAATGCAGGATTTATATCATCAACCGTATGGACCTGAATGCCGAAGCTTTGAGCCCGAAACATTGCACCGTGAAGCCGAAACCGTAAGCCCGTTTCTAGAACCCGTAGAAAAAGAGCGTATGGACAAATAGAAGCTTTTAGGCTTTTAGGCACCCTCATTCCATATCGGGATCCTAAAACCACATCGAGAAGCGCCGTGGTGACGATTTCACATCCTTTGTCGACTGTGAGCTAGGGTGCGCGGATGCAACAGTTACAATCACGCTTCAGGTTCCTTATGCATTGGCCGGTGACCATAAGTACTCTGCGAAATTCGTGGAAAATGGGTCTGGATTCCTCCAACTCCCTTGCGCTAGCCGCAGAGATCATCCGCGTATGCGTGTACGCTGGTATGCTCGAGAACCATGTTGGAGCTGTTAAGGCCCCTAGAAGTTAGAGCGTAGGCATGGTTAAAGGCTCAAGGTAGGAACCCTGTGTCGGAGGCAAAAGAAACCCCTGGGTTCAGAAGAGCCGAGGTTCTATACTGTAGGACTGTAGGGGTCTCAACAAGCAGTAAGGTCATGTCCTAGCCTAGTGTCCTCATGTCAATGTAAGGGTTTCGGGATCAAGGGCTACGGTTGGCCCTGTAGTGTATCATAGAGTACGAGACTAAGCCGGATCTTTCTACTACAGAGGCCTGAATGATTATTACGACTCAGCAGGGTTCCTTGTTGTGATGAACCAGGACATCATTGCAGTCTTCGTAACATGGAAGCGCACAATAACCAACCATATTCGGATTATGCTCATCACCACCGTCATCCGCAACATAAGTGTATGGTCATTATCAGAATCAACATCATGATGATGATGATCACCATCATCATCAACAACATCATCATCATCACCGTCATCATCACCATCCTCAGCATCATCATCGTCATCATCATCATCATCATTCACATTATCTTCATCATGTTCGTCTTCTTCATCACCATCAACACCCTTATCATCCTTATCAACCTCATCCTCCTGCGCCTCCTCATCATTATCACCATCGTCACCGTTGTCACCATCATCACCGCCAGCACCATCATCGCCATCACCGCCATCACCACCACCACGCCCATCACCACCATCATCACCATCATCATCACCATCATCGCTGCAGAGGGCTTACGGTTTAGGGTTTAAGCTTCAAGCGCACCTGCCGAGCTCTGGCCAGGAACCGTTTCCGTGTTGTGGTCCGCCAGATGTCACCCGAGGCTGCCGGCGGCAGCAGGGTTTTCTGGGAGGCTTAGGATTACCAAACGGTCCTCCGACCTTACAGCTACTCATACTAGTACTATTACTAAGCATAACGATAATAATAGTAGTAATAGCAGCATGTGCAACCCCTGATGGGAACCTTTTATAGGAAAGGATTCCTGATGGGGACGTCTGTTTCTGCGAGGAACCCTTTTCTAAGCACTCCTACACACCCCTCTTTGGGAAGATTGGACGGAGCATTTATGAAGACGCATATATGGCAGTTTGCGTGACGCTGCAGGTCGGGCCGCAGCGGTACTGCCCTACCAGAGGTGCCCTAAGATTTAACCCCTAAACCCTAAACTCTAAGCCCTTAACCGGTGCCCTCGTATTTGGGAATCTTATCCTTCGGGATCTCGAATGTCCAGCGTGGATAACACGCAGAATCTTCATGGAACTGTCTAGGATTGTTTCCTCGGGTTCCCCAATTTCCATCGGGGACAACACGGAAACACCTCATAGAATTGCTTAAGCTTCTGTAGGCCTGTACATTCTAGTCCTCCTGAGTTCAAGACCACCTGCACCCATCTTGTTTTCAAAGCCAACTCGAATCCTTGCATGGCTGCTTCTTCCCGGCGAGCTGAGCCGAATCAATGTCGTGGGATGGGAAGTTCTCCAAATCAGGGTCCCTTTTATGGAGGGGTCCAGGTATATGGGTGCCCACCTGAAGAAGGACCCTGTTTTGGTCACTCGATGCTGCCATCTTACAGCTAGATGAAATGCTGAGTGCTGCTAACGTAGGGTTCTTCTTCTCCTACTGAATCAATTGCTCGAGGTTTTTTCTCGTTCATTGTTCCTTTGCGAGCCGTGTCCTGCTGTCTGTACAATCTGCTATCTGTATTTTTGTGTTTATCAGAAACTATCCATCCTAAAACCTTCAGTTTCCCTTCGTGTAGTTGCTGGCAGACACGACAGGAGGAGCATCCAACCGAATGCTAAGACCAAGAGAAGCATCCTACAAGAACGGTTGATGATATAAATCCTGCTTTACCTTGAGGACCCTGAACTATGGGAATGGTGGTTTATTCCTTATTAAGGGTGATGCAGGATTCATATCATCAACCGGAATGACCCTCGACCAGGAACCTTTGATCCTGGACTCTGAGTCCTGAGGTCATTGCCCTCTGCCCTGCCTTGGCACCAAACCGAACCCGTGCACTCACCAGCACTCTAATACTCTTTTGGGCGTACATGATTAACATGATAGTACCAGGTACACCAAAGCCCCGTTCTAGTTATTAAGGCCCGTATAGTAGGCTTTTCAGCCTTAGACCCCAAACCCGAAGACTCAGCACCTAGCCGTACCCGCGAGGCGAAGTTTTGCCCGGATGGGGTTCCTAGCGACCTTCTCCTGGGTCTGCCAGGGGCCCAAGCAGGGCTTTCATTTGGGAGTTTCCGAAAATAGGGGACCCTAATATAGTACCCCAAATAGTAGGATCCTTATTATAAGGACCGCCAAATAAGGTATCCCTATTTTCGGAAACCACCATTTTAATTTAACCGAAATTCAGAGAATCAATAGTTTGTAGTATCGTAGGGCTCCATACTCTTTTTGCATTATCAGATACGCAAAAATCCTATGCAAATCCTTCAGCGCCCCATTTCAGAGCAGACGGAAGGCCGGGGTGGAGATCGGCGAGCTTCAGAAATCAAAGGATCTTTCTGCGGGGACGGAGGCGTACAGTCGGGTCTTTTGCTACTCGTTTGGTTTGGGGGATCTTTCTGTTTAGGCGATATGAGGGCCCCTTGCTGACTGAGACTTCAGTGAAGGCCAGAAGCAGTAACATGCTTGTTATGCAGATCCTTACACTGGCTCCTCACTGTGAGAAATCCTCGTTTCATGAATCCACTCGCTACACAACGCAAACCGTAAGACTTGTGTAGGACCCTAAAGGCTGGGCCTAAGTCTCTTAGTGCTACTTGGAGGATCATGGGAGTTTGTAAGTAAGGTTATTGGTACCTGAATTGGGGTTATAAGTAGTTAAGACTTATATAGCTACTGGTAATAGCCCTAGTTACTACATCCCAGGATCCTGTCAGTTCAGTACTCCCGAACTGCAAACCTTACGACCTAAAGCCTAAACCCTAGCACCTACCTAGACCCCCCCCAAACTACCCTCTGTTATACGCCAAATACCCACTATTAAGGGCCACGAGGGCTCTATTATAGGTCCATTTGGGGGGTCCTGGTAAGCCCTAAACCTCAGACCCCTGTAGAAAGCTCCCGGGTCGGAGACCAGGCAGCCGCCGATCCAGCCGTTACTTCACCCAGAGGCCTGCTTGGTTGAGGGTTTCAGGGTTTCAGGGTTTAGGGTTTAGGGTTCAGGGTTCAGGGTTTATAATTTAGGTTTAGGGTTCAGGGTTTAGGGTTGAAGTACCAGAGAACCCAAGACCACTTAAGGAATGTACCTTGGATCTCATTATTCTGAGACCCTCTATATCTTAGGGTATACTCCTGCAATAAACGGTTGTCGGGTGTTGTGGGTGCTGGGTGTATAGGACATGGGTTAGAAGCTGCCCCCACCCTGTAGTAGCGACTACAAGTATTGTATTAAGGCCCTATTATATTCCTATTATACCACTATTACAGGGTGGGGGCCCCTTCTAACCCTACGCTTCATACCTGGGTCTTTACTTGGAGGATCATGGGACTTAGTCAGTAAGGCTCCTTATAGGGTTCCTTAAGGGGATCTATAAGGGATCTATAGGGTTCGATAAAAAGGGGCCCCTTCTAAGACATAGGTGTTTAAAGGATTGGTTGTGTTTTTTTTGCTGGTTTAGGGTCCAGGCAGGTTGACAGAGTCATTCCCAGAGCCTCCAAAACCCCTTAATTAAGGAATATGCCTTAAAGTATAATGGAATCCCTAATAAGATGTACCTTAAAGTATAATAGAATCACTAATATGATATACCTTAAGTTATAATAGGATCCCTAATATGATTTAAGGTATAGTCCTTAATTAAGGGGTTTTGGAGGCTCTGGGCTCTAAGTTGACTTAAACACCCTAAACGCAAAGCCCAACACTTCTATCCGCAAACCCTCAATCTCCCCCTAAGCCCTAAACCCCCGGGTTTAGGGTTTAGGGTTTAGGGTTTAGGGTTTAGGGTTGGTAGAAGGGGAGTAAGGCCCAAAGCCCAACCTTAGGCGAAACCCTGATCCACAGCTCCTCAACTTGTAGTTTTGATTCTGCCCGGATGAAGCCTTTGGGGTGCGGAGGGTTTAGTCTTTCAGGATTTTGGGGTTTAAGAGGGTTTGGGCTCAGGAGTGAGAGGGCATTCAAGTAGAGGGCAGCTGCTTGAATTTCAGGGGTTTGTGGGGGAAGGGGATTGTTATGATGGGGTTTTGGGCTTAATGCTTTCAGAGCGGAGTGGTGTACCCTTAAAGAATGATTTGTAAAACCTTGATATCCCAAAAATCCTTTCGTATGTAAACCCCCATCAACCCCTATACCCCTTGTAAGACCAAAAGCCATCCCTAAGACTCATCAACCTCTATGAAACCATTTGTGAGTTTGCGAAAACTAGGGGTACCTTATTTTGGGGTCTTCATAATAAGGCCCTACCGTCTAGGGTACTATATTAGGGTCCCCTATATTCGGAAACTACCATTTGGGCCTGCAGAGCTTTTCGAGTTCGGGGGTCTCTTGGCTTCATTTTACAGACAATGTTTAGGGTGTACTTGGAGGGTCATGGGAGTTCGGAGTGGCGTTAGAAATGGGGTAACTATAGTTATAGCCCATGCTTTGACTTACAACTCCACTTATAACTACCCATGCACCTCCAAGCAGGGTTGTGTGCTACATCGTAACAGCATGTGAAAGCTATTATTTCTAGCCGGTTATATGGGCTTATGGCTTATGGGGATTAGGGTCCGTAGGCTTCCCGCTCGAAGATTTCCTAAACTGGCGATTAAGTTAGAGCAGCATGTGCATCTGTAAAAAAGCTTCCGGAAACAACCAACGGCCCAGTGATACACCCTAAACCCTCAACGGCCGAGTGCGTGGACAGTGTCACAGAGCAACCGTCACGCAGGGCATCGAGACCCAGAGCTCTCAACCAAAAACCAAACACCAGAACTCTGCAACCCTACCTGGACCCTGAAGAACCTTTCTAGGGTTTCCTAATATATGATTTCCTTACATAAGTCCTCAAAAAGGTAGGTTCTTCAGGGTTAGGGTATGCCTTAAGCCTTTCAACCTTTGGCCCGTTACTTATAGCTCTAAACCCCAGACCCGATAAGCCCGAAAGCTCCAAAGCTGCCACGGCTGAAACTCTGAAACTTGAAAAACTTGGGAGTTTCAAAAAAGAGGGGGCCCTAATATAGTATCCTAAATAGTGAGATCCTTACTATAAAGACCCCAAAATAGGGTACCCCTAGTTTTCGCAAACTCCCACTTAGCCGGAGGATGTCGAAGGCCCCAAACTGGGCTTTGGAGTACCGTACTTTAGTCCTCTTTCTTAAAGGAACCATTGTGTAACAGAAGTGTATACTTTTTTCTCCCTGGTTACTTAAAAGCCCAGCAAACGGTGGCATGCAGGTAGGTAGGATTATGGATTCCTTAGATGAGGACCCTCATTTTGGGGTTGACACCCGTAGACCCTAAACCCTAAATCCACTACTTGAGGATGATGAGACTTAGTCACTAGGGGTATCATCATGGCGATTGTGTTCATAATTAGTTGTCGCCAATTACGGTACATGGAACCCAGCCTACTAAGTTACTGATTTTCATGATCTTTCAAGTACCCCACTCTAACTCCTGAACCCTGATCCCTAAGCCCTAAACACCCTAGACCCTAAACCCCTGAACCCTGGACCCTCAGCCCTACCCTATTTTGGGGCTCCTTATAATAAGGGTCCTACTATTTGGGGTACTATATTAGGTTTCCCTATTATCGGAAACTCCCAGATATCATTGGTGCACTTCAAAACGAAACCACCCTAGACCCTAAGCCCTACCACATTAACCCTAAACCCGAAACCCTAAACCCCTAAACCCCTAAACCCTATAGCCCCTAAACCCTAAACCCTAAACCCCCAAACCCCTAAACCCCCTAAACCCTAAACTATAATAAACCTACTCCACTCAACGTCATCCCACCCTCGTAGCCCTTCGAGGATCCGACTGGGGAGAGCGGGCAGCCGAGCTCTCTTCGGTAATATAGCGGTCTTCGTAAGTAGAATAGGGTTCCTTTCAAGGCATGCCTGATCAGGGTTCTATGAGGTATCTATGATTTAAGGCTCTGTGGTATAATTAGGGGCCTTGGCAGTTTGAATAGGGTCTTGGGTATATTGTAGTAGACAGTAGAGGTATCATAAGGAATCATATTGGCAATTGTCCAGGCTTCTACAGTAGCTGCAGCAGCTGGCTACGGTCGGTGGTGGTAAGAGGGCGTAGGGGTTTGGGGTGTAGGTTTTAGGGTTGGGGTTCAGGGTTTTGTTGGGGGGGGGGGTCGGGGTTAGGGTCCAGGATTCTTTCAGTTACAGGGTTCAGGGTTGAATGAGAGTTCAGGGCTGGGGAGGGTATAGGGTTTGCAGTTTAAGTGTTGAGGGGTTCATGATATAGGCTGCTCTACTCCGGCCCAGCCCCGGATGGGTTCCAGGAAGTGCTGTCCCTCTGCCTTGACTATTTCGAGTAATTTGCGATTCGTTTCTGGCTTTACCGTCTGCCCTGCTCAGATACTTTACCTTGCTCATCAGTCGAGGCAGGAGATCATCCGCGATGTGGGCTTCAGCACCCAAGTTCAGAACAGTAAACTAAACCCTAACCCCTAAACCGTGTCAATTCGCTGCTGAACTTTGGTGTGGATGGCAGACTACGAGTTTCGTTGGTTTTGCAGCATGGCTGTTGGACACTCGTCTTGGGAGAAGCATGCACTATCCCGACACCCTAAACCCTAAGCCTTCTCTAAAGGATACCAGAACCACTGGTCTTTGTATTTTATCGTCCTGCAATAACCGGTATGAGCGGCCAAAAAGCATACAGTGTATGATGCCTCAATCCCCAGTTCTAACTTTTCAGGTCCTTGCGGTATCTGTTCTATTTATGTTGTTCTTGTTGTTAGTGTTATTCTGGTTATTGTGGTTATTGTGGTTATGGTGCTTAGTGTCACTATTGTTGTGTTTTTTTACCATGGTAGTTAAGGAATCGATCCTTAGCTGAGCACGAGAACGTCGTTTTCACACCCGACAAAGCCCTACACCAATGGGGGTTTCCGAAAATAGGGGACCCCAAGATAGCACCCTAAATAGTAGGATCCTTATTATAAGAGCCCCCAAACAAGGTACACCTAATTTTCGGAAACCCCGAAATTCTCAAAAACCCAGAAAGACTTTGTAAAACCCTACACCACCCGCCCTAAACCTTGAACCCGCGATCTCCATGTAAAAACCCCATCGAGGCCTCGCCGAAGCAGAGCTTCCCGGACAGGCCGAGGGAGCGTTAGTTTCAACCTTTGGTGGAAGATATGGGAGTTTGGAAAAATTGGGGGTACCGCGTTTTGGGGGTCCTTATAATAAGGATCCTACTATTTGGGGTACTACATTAGGGTCCCCCATGTTCGGAAACTCCCATATGCAGTTAGGTTGTTCATGGCTTTAGGTCGGTTTCTACTACGCTACGTGTTTCCAGAAGGTGTGAACAAGCTTTTTGAACTCGGTGGTTGGAGTTGCTATTATTTCTTTTTAAAGCGTATCTTTCAACACGGCGTTGTTGATTTAAAAGCATGCAATTCTATGCTCTCGAAAGGAGGGGTAGGCCAGAGTGGAGCAAACGCGGCTTAGGGAATTAATCGGGTTTGGGGCTTAGGCAGAGCATTGTTGCCGTGTCTAGCTGACGAGGAAAACGGAAGCGACATCGTCATATACGGGGCTATTGGGCAACCTTGCATCTAAACCTCAGGTCTTAAATGATCCCTCAATGATTTTCAAAGGCCTGGATCGGCGGCCCAAGATCCCAGTCCTTTCCGAATCTGCAGCAGCTTTATCTGTTTAGACGCTAGACCCGAAAGTAGGCATTGCTTGTTTCGGGCTGCAGAAAAAGCTGGAGTGATGCCAGCAGGTAAGAGCTGCTGCCGGTATCGTCATTTAAAGCTTGTCGAGAAGCGGCCAATAGGGTTTCGGGTCAGGGTGGGCCCGGCGTCAGGTTATCAGGCCCTTAACCCTAAACCCTGAAACCTTACAGTAGAAGCCAGAAAGTTGGAATATCATTATCATGATCCCTTTAAGGTAAAATATAGGGGATCCTGCCATTATTCCATATTCCAGCTTTCTGGAGTTCCCTTTAACCCTAAAACCCGTCTGAGCCATTTGTACATCCAGCAAGCATACTTCAGTTTAGCAAGCGGAAGTACTCAAACCGATCACCGACCACGAGTTGAAGCTTCCAATGATCGCCTGTCATGTAGGGGCGTAAATACTTAGACTGGGGTTTCGGTGTATATTAATATACTACAACTATACAAAGGACCCGCCCCCCCCCTAAAAAACAAAAACTAGTATAGGCACCCCGATAGTACTGTAGCTGTCATGAGTCCCTTCGCTCGAAAAAATCATCCGTCCATGCCTGAAGGACCAGAAGACCCTTAAAAGTAGGGGCCCTATACCCATATGGGAGTTTCCGAAAATAAGGGGTACCTTATTTTGGGGTCCTTATAATAAGGATCCTACTATTCAGGGTGCTATATTAGGGTCCCCTATTTTCGGAAACTCCCATATACTATGAACCCCTATATGGTATATGAACCTTAAACCCTTTTAGGGTTCATTTCGTCCTTAAGGTGCATTCATTGATGCAGTCGTTCGCCAGCAAAAGATTCCGAACCACGGGCTACGTCGACGAACAAATATCCCAACCCACTTTAGGGTTGAGGGTTTAGGGTTAAGGTAACCAGGTACCCACACTCCACTGCAGGCCTCCAACATCTTTCAACAAACCAATGACCAGTTTGCACCCCACGCGATGCCAACTAGTTTGGAGAAAAGACTTTGCTCATCAGCCCCGTGACAGTTTCACTGCAAAAGCAAAGCAAGCATGCCTGCGACAGATGGGCCCTTCAGACTATAGTGGACTCGTGTTTGGATACTAACTATAAGGAACCTACAGCTTACTTGGAGATCGAATGTCTGGAAGCAGCACCTAATGTGGGCTATCGGTTATCGAATAGTAATACTTGAGTCCTCAACCCAGAACCCTAAAATCAAGCTTTCAGAGTGCCCCAGATCTGCGTGAAAGAGCTGACCGTCGATGTCCGATGGCGCATGGACAAGCTGAGATCCTTTGTGGCGCAGGCGGGCCGCGTGCTTTTCGCTTCATAGGGCTGAGGCGCGGCTTTTGAGGGTCAGGGTCTCAGGGTTTTAGTTAAGGGATTTAAGGGTTTATGAGCGTTTAGGGGTTTCGGTCTAACGGCTAAGGATCTAGGAGTTGCCTTAGCCCTGAAGAACCTACCTTTCTGAGGACTTATATAAGAGAATCATATTTGGGAACCCTAAAAAGGAGGTTCTTCAGGGCCCAGGTAGGGTTTAGGGTTTAGGGGTGGTTTACGGCTTCGGACTTTGGTCTTGCAGTGTGGGCATGAGAGTCGGGAGGAGCATGGGCTCACCTTCCAGGAGCTTCTTATCCCAGACCCTCACGGTAGTCCTATCCGTCTATAAGTAGCACTTTGTTTTTTGTTGTTTGCATTGTTTTCGTCGGTGTGCGTGTGTGTGTGTGTATTGTGTCCCCCCGTCTCTCTCTCTCTCTCTTTCTCTCTCTCTCTCTCTCTCTCTCTCTCCCTCTCTCCTTCTCGTTCGCTCTCTCTTTGTCTAGCTCGCGGAGTCCCTCTCTGTTTCTCTTTCTTCCTCAAGGCACTAGAACCGGGAAGCAAAGTCACTACCCAGACCTGGAGCCTCTGCTATCAGGCTGCTTCGAGCTAGTCTAAGGCAGAACCCTATAAGGTAATCCCAAAAAGGAACTACTTTGGGGCCTTAGGGTAGTCACTGAAGCCGAGACTGTCGGGATTTTCGTGTTATTCCCTTGGATCTGTCTGATGTTTACCCGAAACCCTGAACCCTAAGCGCCTAAACCCTAAACGCTAAACCCCTAAACCCTGAACCCTAAAGCCTAAAAGACCTGGGAGCCCGTCGACGAGGGATCTTACTGGTGCTTGTGAGGTTTTGCTGCTCTGCAGGGCCTAGTCATCTCCTCCTGTGATTTAGGGTTCTGGGATTAGGGTTTAGGGGTTTAGGGTTTGGGGGTTCAGGGTTTGCAGACATAGACCCGCTGCCCTAAGAGGGTTTGAGGTCTGCTGAAACTCTTGTTAGAGCCCCATAAACATAGAGCCTTGAAATAATCGTATAAACGCGGAACAATGCCGTCAAATTAAAGCCTTTTAAATCCACAGAATTCCACAACTGCCTTAACCCCAAACCCGGCAACATTCGCCAGGCTCTGGGCGAACCGGAGGTCCTTTCCTTCCCTTGCTTCCGGCTTCCATAAGGGACACCTTACTTGGAGGTTCCTGGGTAGTGTTAAGTAGGGTTATAAGTCATAAGTCCCCTAACATTGCAACTGGTAATCATAGTAACCATAGCTATCCTGCTTATGAAACACCCACTTATAGCCACCCATGAACCTCCGAGTAACGGCTGTTTAAGTGCACCAGAACGGTTCAACAAGGCTACCAAAAGGGTTCTACAATCAAGGTAAGAAGAGGGTACCAAAAGGGTTCTATAAAGGTACGAAGCCGGCTAGACTAGGGTACCGAACTATGGAGGTTCTGCAAATGTCCTATGAGGGTTTGGAGTTGGGGTTTCAGGGTTTAAGGGCTAGGATTTTTGGAAGGCACGGTGCTAAGAGTTTCAAGCCCCCAAGAAGCCCTCGGCCCCAACAAGTATTTCAGGCTTTCAGTATTAGTATGGGGATACTTTTACAGTCCTTGTGTCTTATATCATAGCCTACTCGGAGATCTCACACTCTCCCTTTTTCCAATCCTTCAAAAGCCGTATGGCCCATAAAACATTAAAAACAATAAAACAAATCCCGTAAGAAGACCTGGTAGAACCCGATCAGGGGGACCAGTTGGGAAGGCCGCGGTCCCTCAGCCCCTAAGCCCCTAAACCCTAAACCCCTAAACCCCTAAACCCTACCCCAAAGCCCGAAACCCCCACGGTTTTGGGGCTCATTTATGGTATCGTTCTATTTAGGTTAAGGCCCATTAGCCCCGAACCAGCTTTAGGGCACACCGGCTCTGCAGGGTTTGTTCAGGTTTCGGGGATCGAAAGGGGAACCGGAGCTTCGAAAAGGGCTCTGGGGTTGTTTTAAGGATTCCGTCAAGGGGTTCTTAGGTGCGTTCTACAAGGGTTTTGATATTACAGGTTTCACCGTTGGGGTTCAGTACACCTGACGGAAGTTTTTCTGAATCAAGATTCCCTTTCAAGTACTTCCTCCGTGATGTGAACTTCAAGTGGACCCGAAACCCCACAGCTTAAAAGTTGTAAACTCCGAAGAGCAAACACCCTCGACTGCAGTGTTGAACGTGGAGAGTGTACAGGTCTGGTCTAAGCCCAAGGCTCGTACACCCCGGGGGCCTCATATATCACGGTCTTCAGGGGGTTGAGAATTGCTTTAGGGTTTTAGAGTTTAGCGGTTTAGAGTTTAAAGTTAGGGCTGCGGGACCGAAGGGCCGTGCAACAGGCCTGGGTTTGCGGTGTAGCTCGGGTTTGGGCGAGCTGCGTATCGGCGGGGGTGCTGCGGCTGGGACAACGTCCGGGCGGATGGGCATCACCGATGCCGAAAGACGACAGCTGAGCGACGCCTCCTCATGCTCGGGGGGTCGAACGCTGAGGACCGCAAGAGGTCCAGGGAGCATCGTTCAGAAGCGAGGCTCCGTTCCCGACATGCGGCAGTCATTCTTTCTCATGCTTCATGGTTGCTCCAGATAGTATGGAAGACTGAGAAGAAGGAGTCGGTTCCTGACAGGGCTGATGCACCCAGGAGGAAGGGTTCGCAAACTATTTCTTGATCAGGTGGAGTTACGCACATCATCAGGTCCGGTGGACCTCACAATTGGGACCGACGGTTCCTACTTCGGCTTGTGAGATTGAGGGGAGGGGTCCGATGGACGTCGTTCCGATGGTCCCTTCTCACTCAAAAGCCCAAAAGTTAGGGCTGCTGGACCGAAGGGCCGTGCAACAGGCCTGGGTTTGCGGTGGCCATCGGTCACGTTCCCGGAACCCAAAGGATGCCATCCCCGCTGAGCCTGAGCAGCATCGCCCTGCAGGCCATGGTTATTCACGTGGACTTTTCTTCTGACACGCTGCCCTGTGACGACAAGCGGGCTGAGAATATTGAGCAGCACGCCGGCGGGCTAAGCCGGCTATAGGGGCGAAACCTCCGCCACCAAGATTTGGGCCTTCTTGGATGTAGCACCGCAGCGGCTGAGCATCCCGCGGAGCTCCAAGCATCTTCCGTGGCGGAACATCAGGGCACGAAACATCTTCCGAGAAAAAGAGGCACGCCCATAGCCCAACTGTGTGCATGAATTGGGCACGTTCTCGCTTTTGTTTCACCAGGCCTGTTTCCACAATCCTCCGGTCCTGGTCCTCGCCTGAGAAGTTCAGCTGCGCAGCAGGAGGGCATGGAGTGATCGAGCTCCAAGCCCAGATGAGCAGGGCCATTTAGGCATGCCAGCCTCGACGGCCCAAGAAGGATGTGCTTCTTCCACAGATGTCGATCAGCAGCAAAGACTCCTTGGGAGGAGTACTGCGCCAGGACGAAAGTTCGTCGCATCGGGTAGGTCTGTTAACATATACTTGCAAACCCCGTTCCCTCCTTCACGAAGTCTCGATGTGAGGCCCGGACGTCACAAATTCCTCCGTCGGAACAAAATAATAGTATATGTTTAGTTTGGCATAGAAATTCCTCCGCTGGCAAGGCCACGTAAAATGCACTTTTTGGTATCCCGAGTCCTCCGCCAAACAATACATCTTAATGCGACAAAACTTTCATCCTGCTGATGTATTGCTTCAGTGTTTGCATGCACCGAGAGCAGCTAGCAGCTAAGGGTTTAGGTTTAGGGATAAGTCCGCTTAGCTTTGGGGTCTTGGCAAAGAAATTCCTAGAGCTTTTGGGAAGTTTCTTGCTTGCCTGGCTGCAGGACGTTTCTGTCAGATGTCCCCGCAAGACCCCAGGCCAGCTTTCTTTGCAAAATACCCCCAACGTTATTCTAGCTATTAAGGCCCCCGCAGCACGATTACGAGCTAAGGATTAGGGCACATGGAGCTACACTTCATGCCTGTCAACTTCAGACCCATTAACTTCTAGAAACCTTGCACGGCGTACAGCCCGGTACATCGGGGTATGGGGGTTGTTCTTATGCCAACTTTGATTTTATCGTATTTGTTGCAGTTGGATTTGATATTACATCAAAGGACCTTAGCTGGACGTGCATTTGGAACAACCCCCGGCAAATGGGGAATCCTTTGGCCGCGTCCGTCCAGCATCTTTACATCGTCGTCCTGGACGTGGTGACTGCTCTGTTTCTGGCAGCCAGCTGTGTGCGTTTTTCGAGGACCGGCACAGTTGTCGATCCAAAACAATAACCTAGGCTCTCGCCGTTTAGGGCTTAGGGGTTTAGGGCTTAAGGCTTAAGATCATTTCGGGGCCTTTTAATTTTTTTTGAAAAAATTTTTGGACACTCCCAAACCCTCTGCTTCCCATGGCTTTTCATGCGACAACAAACTTGCGCCTACTCCCACGGCATGTGCCTCCGTTTATTTTTGAGCGACGTCAATCCCGTGCCCGAAGTGTGGCCAGAGAAGCAATCCTCCAAGAAGTCTCGGCTGCTGCAGATTTTCGGGTTCTTTGACAAAAAACCCTATACCTACAGTAGTCGAGACTTTACTTTGAGGATCATGGGACCTAGTAAGTAGGGTTATAAGTACTCTCACTGCGGTTATACGTCTAGTTGCCCTACAACAATAAGCCAAGCTACTAAGGCCCATGACTCTTTAAGTAGGGTGGAGCTCTAGCGGGGGTGGGGACAATCAGTTCAGGGCACACACCTGGGCGCTTTCGGCACCAGCGAGCCCCTTCACAAAAACGCGACAACCCATTATCCCTACCCTGTGGCCCCAAACCCTACTAGTACCTTCTTAAGGATCTATATACAGAATAGTTAGAATCCATAACAAGAACTAACCCTACCTAAACCTTAAAACCTTGAACCTTAAACCCTTCAAATCCCTAAATCTGTAGCTGCATCCCCTAAACCAGCAAACTCAGAAAACCCTCAGCCCGCAAGCCCTCGACCCTAAGACCCCAAAGCGCTAAACCCCGAAGCCGAGAGCAGCAGGAAGTACGGCGGGGTGCGCGTGGCGCACCGCGTTCGCCAGCATTTGGAGCGATTGGGGACCGTGCTCATCGGACCGAGCTTTGACTGTTTGGGTAATGTAGGAACCTGATTAAGAAACCCTGGGCCTATGACCCCAAAATAGTGGGATTCATGTAAGGAACCCGAATAAATGCCCAAGGTTTCTTAATCAGGTTCCTACATTAGTTGTAAAAAAATTACGGTCCGTCTTGGGTACCCTTCATAGACATATTAGGTGCCGTATTATATTAAGGCCCCCCAAAAGGACCATAGTTTTGACAACCACCCGTTTCGGTTTGGTGTTGAGGGTTTGGGGTTTAAGGTTTGGAGTTTAGGGTTGAGGGTTTGAGGTGTTTCAGTGGTATACTGTTCTTTCAACCGAAAAGTCTTATGTTTTGTCGAGTGGGTGACTGAATACCCTGGTCTTCAAAAAGCTGTTTCAGCGTGCTGGTTGGGTGTTATCAATGTTTCATAGAGTTAGGATTTGGTTAGGTGCAAAGGCTTGGGCTTTTGGTTTTATAGCCATAGATTTCCTGCTGTGCTTACATGTTGGGACTATGTGCCTCGTTTTGGTGCGTAGAATAATGTCGTGCGTTTTAGGCCTCCTGTTTGATTCCTGTTTGAGTCAAATGGTGGAGAGAATATAAGCTCGTTGGTGGTATGGGTTATCGTTAGAGAGAAGATGCACTAATGTGGTCTTTATGTTTTTGTTGTTTCAACTCTTTGTTTTCTTTTGAACACACAAACCCTAAACCCTAAAGCAAAACCCTAAACCCTAAATCGAAAGCTATCTCTACCGACTAGGTATTCCGACTGTAGCAAGAAGGATAAAGGCCCTCAAAAAAAAAAACGAAAGCTATAAAGCTTCCGCCAGCTCAGGAACGATTCGGAGGTGGCCCAGAAGCTGCACCTCGCTTTGTGCCAGCTGCAACTCAGATTCAAAGGGGCATTCTGGCTTTATGTATCGATGTTCGGTAGGGTTTAAGGTTTAGGATTTAGGGCTTAGGCTTAATCTCCGTAAATGCTAGTCTACAAGCCCTAAACTTAAACCCTAAAGAGAAGTGTGGGTGAATCATCCTCCAGAGGTTCACTTCAGTCTTGAGCATCTACAGTGTATAGTTCCCGGGTTTGGGATGTTGTTTTTTAGAAGGGTGTGTGTGTGTGTGTGGTGTCGAAAATGCTTCTCTTCTTAGCCACTGTTGTATGTTCGACAGCAGTCGAAGCCCTAAGCCGCCAGGTCTCAAACATGAAACCCTAATCTCTAAACTTCTTTTAATTGAACCCTAGCTAGCCCCCCCCAAATACCCTCTATTATATACCACATACCCTCCATTAAGGACCATAGCAGCTTGATAAATGGGTATGTTGGGGAGTCCTGCTCTAAACCCCAAGACTCGAAACCTCTACCCTGAGGCTCCATGTGCCCATACAATGTATATGCTTATGCCTTCATGGTACCTATATTGGAGTTTCCGATCATAAGGGGACCTTAATATAGTACCCTAAATCGTAGGATCCGTATTATAAGGACCCCCAAAGCAAGGTACCCCTATATAGGAACCCCTTCAAGTTTGAGCGGTTGTCAAAATTATGGTCCCTTTTTGGGTACCCTAAATATTTGGTGCCGTATTATAATAAGGACCTAATATTTAGGGTACCCTAAACCCTAATCCCTAAACTCTAAACCCAAAAGAGGGACCATAATTTTGACAACCATCCATGTGGGTAGATGGAGCCCAGGGGTCTGGAGAACCATGATGCAAACTTGAAGGGGTTCCTTTAGAAGCTGCCCCCACCCTGTAATAGTGGTATCATAGGAATATAGTAGGGCCCTAATATAATCCTACATAATCCTTATGGTCACTATTACAGGGTGGGGGCCCCTTCTAAGGGTTCCTATATAGGGGTCCCTTGTTTTGGGGGTCCTTATAATACGGATCCTGCGATTTAGGGTACTATAATTAGGGTCCCCTATGATCGGAAACTCCCATATAGGCCGCAAAGCTTGCAGGCTTGTGAGTCTCTCCAAGATCCTGGGTGCAGTCTTCTTCTTGCGGCTGCTGGCGATTCAGTGGTATCAATTCAGGCAGGCTTAGGGTTATAGTGAACCCCGGAAAGTTGGAACATGGATTGAGGACGATTCATGCTGGAATTCCCTATACTTTACTTTAAGGGCATAAGGCTAATGATGTTCCAACTTTCTGGCTTCTACTGTAGGGGTTTGGGTGGTTTTGAAAGGGCCAGTAGTTTAGAGATTAAGGGTTTAGGGTTTAGCGTTTGGGGTTATGGGGTTTGCGGCTTAGGCTTAGGGTTTATTCAGGGTTCTGGGGTTTGGGCTCGCGGTGTAGGGTTCAGGGGGCAAGCCCCACAAGAATCAGGATAACGGGGGTTCAAGTTGAATCGTGCACCCCAAACCCCAAAACCCCAAAACCCTAAACCCTAAACCCTAAAACCCTAAACCCTGAACCCTACAACCCTAAAAGCTAAACCCTAAACCCCAAAACCCTAAACGCCAAACCCTAAACTCTAAACCCTAAAACCCTAAACCCTAAACCCTAAAACCCTAAACCCTGATTAAACCCTAAAACCCTAAACCCTAAACCCCAAACCCCTAAACCCCCAACCCCTAAACCCCTAAACCCTAAACATCAGCGCCCATTCCCAGAGAGCGGGTTCCCTCAAAATGGTCCTTCTCATACGTATCGTTTGATCCGGCCCGGTAAGGCCCAGAACATAGCCCTAAGGGTCCATGTACCCATCCTTTAAGGGTAACATAAGGGTTCCTTTAAGGGATCCATAGGGTTCTATAAGGGTTTGGGGTATAAGGGTCCATGTACCCATATAGAGATACATGGGCCCCAATGTACCTATATAGGGACTACATTAAGGCCAATGTACATACTATATGAGTACATGGACCCTTAGGGTAGTGCAACCCAACTCCATGAGTCAACTTATGCCCGATCTGAGCTCTATCCTTGAGTCTTAACCGAGAAAAATGGGCTATGCTCGAACCTTCACGCGAAGACCTTGACCCTACATCCCGCAGTCTAAGCCTTCAGCCCTATAGAACCTGAACCTCAGCGCCAAGCCCTTCGCGCTGCATAGTGTTCAGAATTGCTTGCAATGTTCTGCAGCTACTGTTCAGCATGTCTAGATTGCTAAAGTTTTGTCATCCCAAGCCTTTTTTTCAGACTACTCCCAGTTCGTCGTTGGCGGTTTGTCCCTGTTGCATTTTGGGGAGTTAGGACCTTAGGGCTTTGGGCTTTCGTTATAGTTTGGGGAGTTGATGGTCGAAGGGCTTTCTGTATGGTTTGCAGCTTCAAACCTTGAAGGTTTCAGCACACTCTTTGTGATTTAGGGCTGTCAAGTATAAAAGCTTTAGGGTTTAGGGTCTAGCGCCCGAAGGCACCCCTAAACCCCCAGACCCTGAACCCCTAAACCCCAAACCTGTAAGCCCCTAAACCCCAAACCCAAGACCCTAAACCCTGAAGGCACGAAGCCTATGACTTACAGTCCTTGGACATATCCTACATGATCCTGGGCTTTGGCGTACCATGCTTTTCTACTTTTTTCTTAAAGGAACCCTTATGACATACAAGTTTATATTTTTCTTAACGGAACCATTATGAAAAGAAAGTCTATACTTTGTTTCTTTAAAGGAACCATTGTGAAATACAATTGTATACTTCTTTCTCCCTGGTTACCTAAACCCTAAACCCTAAACCCTAAAAAGCCGAGGATCGCTTACCCGGTGTCCTTGCTTTGCGTCCTCTGCCAGAGAGCAGTCAGGCCCTCCACCTTGGCTCCTTGGATCTTTCCGAGATTCCTTTTTCCCTCAATTCAGGGAATATACCTTATATAAATTGTAGTAGGATTTCTAAGAATTATGATTTAAGGTATATTCCTTAATTAGGGGATAGTGGCTCCTTGGATCTTTCAGAGACTCCAAATAGGGGACCCTACTATGGTACCCTAAATACAGTAGTAGGATCCTTATTATATGGACACCAAAATAAGGTACCCCTAGTTTTCGGAAACTCCCATATCCGTCAATTTAGTGAAGATACCTTAAATTGTAGTAGGATCCCTAATATGATTGAAGGTATATTCCTTAATTGAGGGATATTGGCTCCTTGGAGCTGCAAGCAGCGGTTCCTTTTTGGGATCCGCTTCCTGGAAGATCCACCCCTACCTTAACCTACCAAAACCTACTTTTTTTTGTAGGGTCCCTATAAATTCCATAGTAGGGTTGATAACAAGAACCTACAAAAAAGTAGGGTTTCGTAGTTTAAGGTAAACCCTAAAGCCGTAAACCCTGAACCCTTAGAGCCCTAAACCCTTTAAGTCCCAAGGCTCCAAAATCCGTAAACCCTGAAACCCCTAAGCCCAGAGACTCCATGATCCCTTAATTTCGGAATATACCGCAAATCATATTTGGGACCCTTCGTATAATTCGCGGTATATTCATAAATTAAGGGATACTGGAGTTTCTGAGAACTTTAAGAACGGCAAGGATGCCATTTATGCCTCGAACCAGCTTCTTCTGCTTTTGCCGCTGTGGTTGGCGCCCCCGGCCGATATTAAGTACGTGGCCGTGCCTCGGTCTTGGAAAGAAGATTAGAGTTTGGGGTTTAGGGTATTCAGGGCTTAGGGTTTAGGGATTAGGGTTTAGGGTTTAGGGTATGTAGGGTTTAAGGTAATCATAGTTGGGGCTTAGATAGAACAAGATTCGAGGTAATGTAGGAACCTGATTAGGAAATTCCCCTGATTAGAATGGCACGGGCCGGGTGTTGGGGTCAGATTTGTATGTGTTTTAATTGAACCCCAAATAAGGATAAAAAATTGAAAAAACAACCCCCCCAATTAGACAGGCTCGTTCCATCCACACAAACAATTTGATTGACTTTCAATTGAACCCAAAATAAAAAAAATATCACCCCAATTAGACAGGATACCCCACAGCCCCCAACCCTTCTTATGGACCCTGAATAATTCTTTAAGATAACCCCCTGATTAAAAAGGGTCTAATCCCTCACAGCAACCAGCACCCCCTTAATTAACTTTTTAGCTTACAGCCCCTGATTAGTAAAGACCCCACAGCCCCCAACCCTTCTTATGGACCCTGAATAATTCTTAAAGATAACCCCCTGATTAAAAAGGGTCTAATCCCTCACAGCAACCAGCACCCCCCTAATTGATTTTTTAGCTTACAGCCCCTGATTAGTAAGGACCCCACACCACCCAACCCTTCTTATGGACCCTGAATAATTCTTAAAGATAACCCCCTGATTAAAAAGGGTCTAATCCCTCACAGCAACCAGCACCCCCCTAATTAAATTTTCTAGCTTACAGCCCCTGATTAGTAAGGACCCCACAGCCCCCAACCCTTCTTATGCCCTGAATAATTCTTAAAGATAACCCCCTGATTAAAGAGGATCCAATCCTTCAAAGTAATTAGCCGTCCTCTGATTAAACAGGATCCCCCCAAAAAAACATCCAAATGTGCTTTTTTATAAGAAAGGGGTTGTAATCTTACTTGCAATTTCTATTGATGAAGATGCAGATGATTATGATGGTTTTGATGAGCTTGACGACGATGATGATGATGATGATGATCACGATTAGATGACGATGAGCTTGGCGATGATGACAGTGGCGATGAGGAGTAGTAGCAATACCAGTAAGAGTAGTAGTGCTACTAGTAGTAGTAGTAGTAGTAGTAGTAGTAGTAGTAGTAGTACTACTACTACTACTACGAAAGGTGTACTACAAGAATGCACAATCCAGCCAGCACCCGAAACGATGCATTTCCAGTACTATAGTTGTACTACAAGCAAGCACAATCCAGCCAGGAGCCGAAACGAGGCATTTCCAGTACTAAAGTTGTACTACAAGCAAGCACAATCCATTCAGGAGCCGAAACGAAGCATTCCAGCACCAAAGTTGCACTACAAGCAAGCACACAATCCAGCCAGGAAACGAAACGAGGCATGTCCAGCACAAATTGCACGCAAGCACACGCACAATGCAGGCAGGAGCCGAAACGAGGCATTTCCAGTACTAAAGTTGTACTACAAGCAAGGACAATCCACAGGAGCCGAAACGATTCCCAGAAGTTGAACAACAAGCAAGTGCACAATCCAGCCAGGAGCCGAAACGATACATTTCCAGCACTAAAGTTGTACTACAAGCACAAGCACAATCCGGCCAGGAGCCGCAACGAGGCATTTCCAGTACTGAAGTTGCACCACAAGCAAGCACAGTCCACAGAAGCGAAACGACGCATTTCCAGTACTAAAGTTGTTCTACAAGCAAGCACAATCCAGCCAGGAGCTGAAATGAGGCATTTCCAGCACCAAAGTTGTACTACAAGCAAGCACAATCCAGCCAAGAGTCGAAACGAGGCATTTCCAGCAATAAAGTTGTACTACAAGAAACACAATCCAGGCAGGAGCCGAAACGATGCATTTCCAGTACTAAAGTTGTACTACAAGCAAGCACAATCCAGCCAGGAGCCGAAACGACGCATTTCCAGTACTGTGGCAGGTGGTGGCAGTTGCAGGTGTATTTGCACTGATTTAGTGTGTATTTGGCACGGGCTTAATGTGTCTTTGCACGGATTTAATGGATTCCTTGTATGTTTGCACGGATCTAGTATTCGTGTGGAAATGGGCAAGTGGGAATGCGTGGGTTTGCACGGTTTTGGTCATTTCAAAATTTCGATTCTGGTTGGGAAAAAACCCAAATGACACCGCCGGAGATTGAGCCCGCGACCCTGCCCAATACGCCCTTCTGAACGGCCGTCCCCAATTTCGTCTAGTCGCCCATAGCTCAGCGGGTAAGCGGGTGGCTTATAAGCCCTTCTGGAAAAAGGGCGCGGGCTCAAACCCCGGTGGTGTCATTTAGACTCTTTGACCTTAATAAGGGCTTAATAAGGCTTTAATAAGGGCTTAATAAAGCCTTAATAAGCCTCTTATAAGCTTTTAAAAAAGCTCTAATAAAGCTTTAATATGGCTTTAATAAGGGCTTAATAAGGCTATAATAAGGGCTTAATAAAGCCTTAATAAGCCTCTTATAAGCCTTAATAAGGCTATAATAAGGGCTTAATAAAGCCTTAATAAGCCTCCTCTTATAAGCCTTAAATAAGGCTTTAATATGGCTTTAATAAGGGCTTAATAAGGTTGTAATAAGGGCTTAATAAGGCCTTAATAAGCCTCGTATAAGCCTTGTTAAGCTTTTATTGAAGCCTTATTACAGCCTTTATTAAGGGCTTTTCAGGAGCAGCCAGGGCCAGCCAATATCATCCAGCATCAGCAAGAAACAGCCAGTTTCAGCCAGTACCGGTCAGTATCAGCCAGTATCAGCCAATATCAGGATCAGCCATTATCATCCAGCATCAGCAAGTATCAGCCAATATCATCCAGCATCAGCCAATATCAGTATCATCCAGCATCAGCAAGTATCAGCCAGTTTCAGCCGGGATCAGCCAGGATCAGCCAGGATCAGCCAGTTTCAGCCAGTATCAGTCAGTATCAGTCAGTATCAGCCAATATCGCCAGCATCAGCCAGTACCATCCAGCATCAGCAAGTATCAGCCAATATCAGCGAGCATCCGCCAGGATCAGCCAAGCTGTTGGCCAGCCAGTTTCAGCTGGTATCAGCCAGTATCAGCCAGGATCAGCCAGTTTCAGCCCGTATCAGCTAGTTTCAGCCAATATCAGCCAGTCTCAGCCAGGATCAGCCAGTATCATCCAGCATAAGCAAGTATCAGCCAGTTTCAGCCAGCATCAGCCAGTTTCAGCCAGTCAGCCAATATCATCCAGTATCAGCCAATACCAGCCAGGATCCGCCAGTTTCAGCCAGCATCAGCAAGTATCAGCGCTTCAGCCAGTCTCAGCCAGTACCGGTCAGTATCAGCCAGTATCAGCCAATATCAGCCAGCATCAGCCAGGCTGTTGGCCAGTATCAGCTGGCATCAGTCAGTATCAGGATCAGCCATTATCATCCAGCATCAGCAAGTATCAGCCAGTTTCAGCCAGTATTAGCCAATATCAGCCAGGATCAGCCAATATCATCCAGCATCAGCAAGTATCAGCCAGTTTCAGCCAGTCTTAGCCAGTATCGGCCAGTATCCCGGTATCAGCCAGTTTCAGCCAGTATCAGCCAATATCGCCAGGATCAGCCAGTGCCATCCAGCATCAGCAAGTATCAGCCAATATCAGCGAGCATCGCCAGGATCAGCCGGGCTGTTGGCCGGTATCAGCTGGCATCAGCCAGTATCATCCAATATCATGCAGTTTCAGCTCAGCCAATATCAGCCAGGATCAGCCAATACCATCCAGCATCAGCAAGTATCAGCCAGTTTCAGCCAGTCTCAGCCAGTATCAGCCAGTTTCAGCCAGTATCAGCCAGGATCAGCCGGTTTTAGCCAGTATATCAGCCAATATCATCCAGTATCAGCCAATATCGGCCAATATCAGCCAGGATCAGCCAGTTTCAGCCAGCATCAAGCAAGCATCAGCCGGTTTCAGCCAGTATCAGACAGTATCAGCCAGTATCAGCCAAGACAAGCCAGCATCACAAGCTGTTTGGCCAGTATCAGTTGGCATCAGTAATATCAGGATCAGCCAAGATGATCCAACATCAGCAAGTATCAGCCAGTTTCAGCAAGTATCAGCCGATATCAGCCAGGATCAGCCAGTTTCAACCCGAATCATCCAATATCAGCCAGGATCAGCCAATATCATCCAGGATCAGCCAGTATCATCGTATCAGCCAGTTTCAGCCAGTATCAGCCAGGATCAGCCAGTTTCATCCAGTATCAGCCAATATCATCCAGGCTCAGCCAAGCTGTTGGCCAGTATCAGCTGGCATCAGTCAGTATCAGGATCAGCCAGTTTCATCCAGCAATATCATCCAACATCAGCAAGTTTCGGCCAGTTTCAGGCAGTGTCAGCTGGCTTTGCACGGTTTTGGGTTTTGCTTGTGCTCTTGGCGGTTATTGGTCATTTCAAAATTTCGATTCCGGTTGGGAAAAAACCTAAATGACACCGCCGGAGATTGAGCCCGCGACCCTGCCCAATACGCCCTACTGAACGGCCGTCCCCAATTTCGCTCAGTCGCCCATAGCTCAGCGGGTAAGCGGATGGCTTACAAGCTCTTCTGGAAAAAGGGCGCGGGCTCAAACCCCGGTGGTGTCATTTAGACTCTTTGACCTTAATAAGGGCTTAATAAGGCTTTAATAAGGGCTTAATAAAGCCTTAATAAGCCTCTTATAAGCTTTTAAAAAAGCTCTAATAAAGCTTTAATATGGCTTTAATAAGGGCTTAATAAGGCTATAATAAGGGCTTAATAAAGCCTTAATAAGCCTCTTATAAGCCTTAAATAAGGCTTTAATATGGCTTTAATAAGGGCTTAATAAGGTTGTAATAAGGGCTTAATAAGGCCTTAATAAGCCTCGTATAAGCCTTGTTAAGCTTTTATTGAAGCCTTATTACAGCCTTTATTAAGGGCTTTTCAGGAGCAGCCAGGGCCAGCCAATATCATCCAGCATCAGCAAGAAACAGCCAGTTTCAGCCAGTACCGGTCAGTATCAGCCAGTATCAGCCAATATCAGGATCAGCCATTATCATCCAGCATCAGCAAGTATCAGCCAATATCATCCAGCATCAGCCAATATCAGTATCATCCAGCATCAGCAAGTATCAGCCAGTTTCAGCCGGGATCAGCCAGGATCAGCCAGGATCAGCCAGTATCAGCCAGTCAGCCAGTATCAGTCAGTATCAGTCAGTAATATCGCCAGGATCAGCCAGTACCATCCAGCATCAGCAAGTATCAGCCAATATCAGCGAGCATCCGCCAGGATCAGCCAAGCTGTTGGCCAGCCAGTTTCAGCTAGTATCAGCCAGTATTAGCCAGGATCAGCCAGTTTCAGCCCGTATCAGCTAGTTTCAGCCAATATCAGCCAGTCTCAGCCAGGATCAGCCAGTATCATCCAGCATAAGCAAGTATCAGCCAGTTTCAGCCAGCATCAGCCAGTTTCAGCCAGTATCAGCCAATATCATCCAGTATCAGCCAATACCAGCCAGGATCCGCCAGTTTCAGCCAGCATCAGCAAGTATCAGCGCTTCAGCCAGTCTCAGCGCATCAGCCAGGCTGTTGGCCAGTATCAGCTGGCATCAGTCAGTATCAGGATCAGCCATTATCATCCAGCATCAGCAAGTATCAGCCAGTTTCAGCCAGTATTAGCCAATACCAGCCAGGATCAGCCAATATCATCCAGCATCAGCAAGTATCAGCCAGTTTCAGCCAGTCTTAGCCAGTATCGGCCAGTATCCCGGTATCAGCCAGTTTCAGCCAGTATCAGCCAATATCGCCAGGATCAGCCAGTGCCATCCAGCATCAGCAAGTATCAGCCAATATCAGCGAGAATCGCCAGGATCAGCCGGGCTGTTGGCCGGTATCAGCTGGCATCAGCCAGTATCATCCAATATCATGCAGTTTCAGCTCAGCCAATATCAGCCAGGATCAGCCAATACCATCCAGCATCAGCAAGCATCAGCCAGTTTCAGCGAGTCTCAGCCAGTATCAGCCAGTTTCAGCCAGTATCAGCCAGGATCAGCCGGTTTTAGCCAGTATATCAGCCAATATCATCCAGTATCAGCCAATATCGGCCAATATCAGCCAGGATCAGCCAGTTTCAGCCAGCATCAAGCAAGCATCAGCCGGTTTCAGCCAGTATCAGACAGTATCAGCCAAGACAAGCCAGCATCACAAGCTGTTTGGCCAGTATCAGTTGGCATCAGTAATATCAGGATCAGCCAAGATGATCCAACATCAGCAAGTATCAGCCAATTTCAGCAAGTATCAGCCGATATCAGCCAGGATCAGCCAGTTTCAACCCGAATCAGCCAATATCAGCCAGGATCAGCCAATATCATCCAGGATCAGCCAGTATCATCGTATCAGCCAGTTTCAGCCAGTATCAGCCAGGATCAGCCAGTTTCATCCAGTATCAGCCAATATCATCCAGGCTCAGCCAAGCTGTTGGCCAGTATCAGCTGGCATCAGTCAGTATCAGGATCAGCCAGTTTCATCCAGCAATATCATCCAACATCAGCAAGTTTCGGCCAGTTTCAGGCAGTGTCAGCTGGCTTTGCACGGTTTTGGCTTTTGCTTGTGCTCTTGGCGGTTATTGGTCATTTCAAAATTTCGATTCCGGTTGGGAAAAAACCCAAATGACACCGCCAGCCCGCGACCCTGCCCAATACGCTCTGCTGAACGGCCGTCCCCAATTTCGTCTAGTCGCCCATAGCTCAGCGGGTAAGCGGATGGCTTACAAGCCCTTCTGGAAAAAGGGCGCGGGCTCAAACCCCGGTGGTGTCATTTAGACTCTTTGACGTTAAAAAGGGCTTAATAAGGCTTTAATAAGGGCTTAATAAAGCCTTAATAAGCCTCTTATAAGCCTTAAATAAAGCTCTAATAAAGCTTTCATATGGCTTTAATAAGGGCTTAATAAGGCTATAATAAGGGCTTAATAAAGCCTTAATAAGCTTCTTATAAGCCTTAAATAAGGCTTTAACATGGCTTTAATAAGGGCTTAATAAGGCAATAATTAAGGGCTTAACAGCCTTGTTTAAAGCTTTTAAGAAGCTGATTAAGGACTTATTAAGCCCTTATTAAGGCTTTTCACAGCCTTATTCAGCCCTTATTAAGGCCATATTGAAGCCTTATTACAGCCTTATTGAAGCCTTATTAAGCCCTTATTACGGCCTTATCAAGCCCTTATCAAGGCCTTATGAAAGCTTCATTATAGCCTTATCAATACTATTGTAATACGACTGTACCACTACCTTACTGCAACTGTATTATTGTACTACTATTATGCTACTAGTGTGCTACTGTACTACTACTACTGTACTACCCTACTACACTACCACTACCACTACCACTACCACTACCACTACCACTACTACCACTACCACTACCACTACCACTACCACTACTACTATTACTACTACGACAACTACTACTGTACTACTACTGTACTACTGCACTACTACTGTACTACTACTGTACTACTACTGTACTACTACTGTACTACTACTGTACTACAACTGTACAACTACTGTACTACTACTGTACTACTACTGTACTGCTACTGTACTACTACTGTACTACTACTGTACTACTACTCTACTACTACTGTACTACTACTGTACTACTACTGTACTACTACTGTACTACTACTGTACTACTACTGTGCTACTACTGTACTACTACTGCACTACTACTACTGTACTACTACTACTGTACTACTACTGTACTACTACTGTACTACTACTGTACTACTACTGTACTAGTAACTAGTAGTATACTAATTAATAAATCAATATGGATTAGCTTTCCCTCGAACAGGTTTCCCCCAATTCCCCAAACAAGGTCTTGTATTGCTTTAAACGTTCAACCCCCAAATAGCGCGGAGTTTGGCTACACACCCCCAATTAGACAGGCTCACCCGATCTCGCCCGGAAAAACCTGACCTTGAACAAACCCCCATGCCCACCCCCCCCATTAGAAGGGTCTACTGGTACTGTACTACTACTGTAATTACTACTACTGTACTACTACTGTCCTCCTGCTGTACTACTACTGTGCTACTACTGTACTACTACTGTACTACTACTGTGCTACTACTGTACTACTACTGTACTACTACTGTACTACTACTGTACTACTACTGTACTACTACTGTACTACTACTGTACTACTACTGTACTACAACTGTACTACTACTGTACTAGTAACTAGTAGTATACTAATTAATAAATCAATATGTATTAGCTTTCCCTCGAACAGGTTTCCCCCAATTCCCCAAACAAGGTCTTGTATTGCTTTAAACGTTCAACCCCCCAATAGCGCGGAGTTTGGCTACACACCCCCAATTAGACAGGCTCACCCGATCTCGCCCGGAAAAACCTGACCTTGAATAAACCCCCATGCCCACCCCCCCCATTAGAAGGGTCTACTGGTACTACTACTACTGTACTACTACTGTACTACTACTGTACTACTACTGTACTACTACTGTACTACTACTGTACTACTACTGTACTACTACTGTACTACTACTGTACTACTACTGTACTACTACTGTACTACTACTGTACTACTACTGGTCCCCAAACAAGGTTCTCCGGGACCTTGGACAAGGTTTCCCCCAAAACCCCCAACAAGGTTCTTCCACTTAATCGTTTCGGGGGGTTTGGGGGCGAGGTGTCCGACCTTGTGACCTTGATAGCGGGGGGGGGGGGCCCCCCCCCTTTCTTAATCAGGTTCCCACATTATACTCTACTACATATAAGCGTAATGGGGAATAAGGCAACAACATAAGTATGTATAAGTGTGTAGTCGGACGCTATATCATGCGGAATACAGTAGTGCAAACAATCGCGTAGTGTAGTTTCGGGTGCAGTTTAGAAGGGAATAGTACAATGTTCAAGGGTTCGAGCTTAGATTCAGGGCTTGTAGGTCTGTTCGGAGTTTCGCGTTCGGGCGAAGGGCCTGTAATTTAGAAGCCTCAATTCTTAGTAATGCCTTTCCGTGAGGTTGCTTGCTACTGCACACGTATACTGTAATTTCCATGTATTTCTGGTTATTATTTATGGCACTTACAGCCTTGTCTTGCTGCGGCCAAAGCAGTGTAAACCCAAAGCCCCAAACACAGAACCCTAAACACCAAGGCCCAAACCCTGAAACCTTCAACCATCCCAAACCTTAAATCCCTGAAGGTTAAACATGAGATCCCTAAAAACCTCAACCCCCGAAGCTTGTGTGGCGCATGCTTAGTTTGAAGCTTTGTTTGAGATGAGACTCTCTGTAACCAATTGCTGGACATTTCGTGGCACAGCGCCTGCAGCCCTTCTCTCTGAATCCCCTGGCTTTCGTAGACCAGGCCACACAAATCCAAGCATAGCCCAAACCGGGATGCAGCCAATATCGACTCCGGGATATGCGCAACGCTTGCAATAAGGCCCTATTTTGACACCCGAAGCAACCCTATGGACTGTAGATCCTCACGGTACCTACAATACCCCATTACAGTATTCTACTGGAAGGGACCCCTTTAAAGTTAGTATCAAACGAGGCTATCACGCTTCTGCCGCGCTTCCTTGCTGGGCTCTCGGCGAAGCGCGTGGCGTTGCCTCTGTTCGGACACTGCCTACATGCGCTGCTGGCCTTGAAGCGCTTGAACGGCACAGAACCTTTCCAGGCCATTCTTGTTCGGGGGAGTTAGGGTTTAGGATTTTTAGAAGGTTTAGGGTTTTGGGTGGGTTAGGGTTTAGGCTTCGGGGTCCTTAGATGTTCAGACTTTGGGTCAAGATTTCTTTTTAGGCCTGGGTTTCGAGCTTTGGTTCCTGTGGAACTTTCGCGGTCGGTTCGGGTGTTGCACAGGGGCTTCCACGCAATCTTTAGCAGAGCTGTGAAAGAGTTGTTCGCAGGACTTGATTCAGAAACCGACAAGGTTTTCGTTGCGGGTTCAAGGCAGCATAGGACAATGAATTCCGGTTCTGCTCACCCCAGAACCCTAAACCCTTAAACGCCAAACCCTGTTCCCCAAGTCCTAATCTAGGATGCCCAGTAGTAATTATCCTTGTTCCCTTTTTGTAGTCCTAGGTTCCTTACAAGTTACCCAATACCAAAAAGGGAGCCCCATTTATTCCTAGGTTACTGGGCATTCTAGGAATTACACCCTAAGCCCCAAGCCCCACACCCGAAGGCCAGAGGGGTTTTGGGTTTAGGACCAGAATGGGAGTTTCCAAAAACTAGGGGGTACCTTATTCTCGGCTCCTTATAATAAGGATCCTACTATTCAGAGGACTGCCTAGACAGATACAGATCATATGCACGTACATATATATATGTATATATATATATATATATATGGGTACCCCCCTATATGGGGTCCCCTGGGTTTTTGCACACCTAAACCATTAAACCATTAAGCCAATCCTTTCCCCCAATGGACCCAAACCAATAAACCATTAAACCATTAAACCAATCCTTTCCCCAATGGACCCAAACCAATAAACCATGAAACCAATCCTTTTGCCCCATACCACTAAACCGTTAAACCATTAAACCAATCCCTTTACCCCATACCACGAAACCAATAAACCATTAAACCATTAAACCAATCCTTTCCCCAATGGACCCAAACCAATAAACCATTAAACCATTAAACCAATCCTTTTGCTCTATACCACTAAACCATTAAACCATTAAACCATTAAACCAATCCTTTTGCCCCATACCACTAAACCATTAAACCATTAAACCAGTCATTTCCCCCTATAGAGAGAGACACATCCCTGTATGGGCCGAAAGCATTGGTTTAATGGTTTAATGGTTTAGTGGTTTAGGTGCATTGTGGGAAAGGATTGGTTTAATGGTTTAGTGGTTTAGTGGTATGGGGTAAAGAATTTGGTTTAATGGTTTAATGGTTTAGTGGTATGGGGCAAAAGGATTGGTTTAATGGTTAATTGGTTTGGGTCCATTGGGGGAAAGGTTTGGGTTAACGGTGTACTATTTTAATGGTTTGTTAATGGTTTAATGGTTTAGTGATGGTGCCTACTACGCAGGTGTCCTGGTTATAACCGGGAACAGAGGTTACAACCAGGCCGCAAAATACGTTCAGAGTTTGAAGACTCCCGGCATGCCGTATAGACCAAATGGATTGGTTTGTTGGTTTGATGGTTTAAGTCTTCCGTGTCGTATCGCGCAAGCGAGCCAGTATGATGGTTTAAGTCTAAGTCTCCCCCAAACCCTAGACCCTAAGCAGTAAAAGCCAAACAAACCCAACACTTGATGGTGAACCTGCAATATTGGTAAACTGTGTCGAAACACCGGGGGGCTTACATACCAGGGTTGTGGTTTGTACACTTGGGGTGCCTTGATTGTTTGTTGCACACTGTAAACCTTACGAAGCAAATCTGTGCCACCGCTACTTCATCAACACCTAAATCCAAACGTTCGAATGTTTCGGTGTTGCAGGGGGAATGTAACCGCAATGAAATTAAACAAGGACTAGAAAAATAGAGGGTCCGAGGTAATTGGCATGTATTCGGTTGTTGAGGCATGATGCAGTGCTTTGCAACAAACATAATTCCGGGGACCATATGCGCATTCCCCAACTTAAGCGGAAAGGCTATTAATATGGCAAAAAAATTTACATACTGGTCTGTCCGTTCCAGTACATCGGTTTATGAGATCTATGTACACATTGAGAGAATAGCCGCTAACATGTCACTCACCCAGGAATCAAAATGCGATATGAAGGGGCTCTATCGGGATTACAGTAGGTCAGTAAGTGTTGTCAACATTAGAATATCGCGGTACACAGAAAGTTGAGATACGACTGATACGACGTCATTGTAGGGAGAGACAGTATTTCAAAGTTTACAGCGTAGTCAGTTTGCATCACTTCGTACATAGGCGAACTGGTTGCAACGTTATGTTCAAACATCGTTCCAAGGAAGCAGGATTTCGATGAGACATTAAACTGATAAGAATATATGCGGTGAGCGAAACAAAATTTGCAACTTGCAAACTGTTAGGTTTCCTCGCTCGGTACGTAGAAAATTCCTAGCAATGCTATTTCCAACTACATGGATGAACCTCTTTGGAGGAGCGATTCGGTGTGTGTTTACCACTTGTTCCTAACACGAGGATCACGTTCTGGACAGGGAACAATGGCTTCTGTTCGACCTTCAGTAGATATTCACAAGAACACAAACAGAAATTCGGACAAGCTAGATGTAGCCTTATGGTTTTCAGTCGGCTTTACGTGATGGTTAAGGCGGTTAACGGTTAAGGTATGCTGATACAAAAAGCACAGGCTTCATCACTCAGCATATAGCAACAGAGCCAAGCCTAAGAAGCGATGCTTCATGTCGTCCCCCAGGAAGAACACTATACAACGTTTGCCAAACTCGTAGTATGCAAGTTTTCAATTTTGGCTTGGGGCAGCCGTCATACAGAATTAAGGAATGCACCACTCAAATATACCTACCGGATATACCAGTGTTTAAAAGCAATCACATAGGGGCACAGGGATATGTCATTGAAAGCTATCAGTTTGCCAAACCGTCATAACAATGCGTCCATCAACAGAGACTTCGATGGGGTTGCGGCATTACAGTACAAAGATGGACAACTTTACGTTCCAAAATCTAGTTCGCGATAAGGAATGACTGAACCAGACTAATGACTACAGCGCGCTTGTTGGGAAAAACTGAAATACAGCGGTTTAGACACAGTCAAAAAAAGATGAACTACGAAGATATATCGACGGCTTCAAGGCAAGGATTTTAGCACATTGTAACAGGGTTTCGACGAGGGTGTCATAGAAATCTTAGCGTTGTGCGGGTTTCAGCTTTCTGAAACCATGGGTTGTTGCAACTTCCCGGGTTAGTCTTCAAACCGGATATAATACTGTAGTCGATGACGTACACCTGATTATAACCTAGTCGGCTGGTTATAACCTAGTCTGGTGGTTATAACCGAGTCAGATGGTATAGCGAAAAACGTAGGGGACCCCAAATAGTGATGCGCCCTATATGGGTATATATATATATACATATATATACATATATATGTATATATATGTATGTATATATATATGTGTATGTATATTAATATGTATATGTATATGCATATGCATATGCATATGTATATGTATATGTATATAGTATATGTATGTGTATGTGTATATGTATGTGTATATGTATATGTGTGTGTATATGTATTTGTATATGTATGTGTATATATATATATATATATATATATTGATATTTATATTTGTATATGCAGGTATGCATGTACGCATGTTTGTATACACATGTGCACTCGTGTATATACATGTTTATGCACGTGTAATGTGTGTATATGTGTGTCGAATGTTATGTATACACATATAGTCTAATATCAGAGAAAGACGGGCACATAGAGATATACACATCTGTAGGTCTGCGTTGTATGTGGGTATGTATCTATGTATCTATGTACCTTGAATTCCCAAAGCCTTAGGCCCTAAGCCTCGTACCTTGAACCCTACACCCTAGAACATTCTAAAACCTTACAAGGAAAACGCTGAATCCAAAGCCCTGAAAAACCCTGAACCCTAAACCCTGGCCCCTAAACCCTGAACCCTCTACTCTTAACGCAACCCTTAAGGAACCCCTGCCCGCCCTACTTGGAGATCGATGGGTAGTCATAAGTGGGGCTATAAGTAGGATATCTATATGTCTATACTTATAAGCCAACAAAGGGGGCTTATAACCCTACTTATAATACGGGGGCCTAAATAATTACCAGTACTATTTTAGTGGTTTCTTGTTATAATTATAGTATAAAGGGCCCCAAAACCCTATTCTAACTATTAAGGCCCCCTACATTAGAGTACCCCACTATAGATCCCTTATAGACCCCTTTTTAAGGATCCCTTTTAAAAAAGGAATCCTATTAACTACCCTGGAACCTCCATGAGTACCGAGTTTAGCGCCCCCCGCGAAAGGCGCCGGCGGATGTCCTGTCACAGGCGGCGGAGGTCGTCGGCCTCTTCGCAGGAACCCTCTTAGTGCGGAGGCCGGACGGGTGGGGGCGGGGGGAGGGGGTTGGGTTTAGGGGGTTTAGGGTTCAAGGTTTAGGGGGTTCAGGGTTTGGGGTTCAGAGTGGCTTATAGGGTTCCGGGTTTAGGCTGGGGGGGGTTCCTTGCGCTCCTTTTCGAGGCTTCGGGGTTACGGCTTGAGGTTTAGGATTTAGGGGCTCGGGGGTGCAGGCTCTGGTTCTTTGAGACGTTATCGGAAAGAACCAATGAAACGGCTTGCTACTTCCAAAGAAGCTACAAGGTGACCCTGCCGAGAAGTTCTAAAAACTGGCCGGGTTCTGGACTTGCATAAACTCAAGCTGCGACAAGACTGCAGGGCCATGATGTGTCTTTGAGTGTCGGTATGTACATACACACAGAAAGCTCCCGTTACCAACTAACTCGTACATTGCGCTTTCTGCTGTTAGCCAGCTAGCTATGTTTCGCTCGAAAATACAGGCCCGCACACTGTACAAACCACAAACACCCTGAACGCGAACGCACCACACAACCTTTCATGTGTTTCGGGTGTTTCATTATTTTTCCGAAGCAACGCAAAACCAATCATGAGTCTTTAGAGCTACAACGGGAACACTGCTCGGCCTTCTCCGAAGCGTGTCCCCTGAACGGACAGGCGCTCATAGTCCTAACTATGCCCGAAGCCATTCCGCCCCAACACTCCAATACCCAACCTAAGGGGAAGCCTGTTTAGATCATGGGAAAAAGCAGGCTTGAGAATCAGCAGCCTGTGCCTCCAAAACCCTGAACCGAAACCTGGGTTCGGGGTTTAGGGGTTTAGGGTTTAGGGTTTGGGGTTTAGGGTTTGGGGCACCGGAAGCGCCGGAACCTGAGTCTGAGAGAGGCAGCTGCACCAGAGCGTGCAGCTCACCTCTGATTTAAAGAGTCGGCAGATCGAGTTAGACACCGTCTCCACACTGCCGCTCGGCGTTGATTCAGGCTCCGTCATCCTTCGCAACACAAAGGCCGAAACCCCAATCAAAAAGCCGTAGCAGTATACCTATACCATCCTATACCCATACTATCGCCTGCCCCTTGTTTACGTAAGCCAATACATAGCTTCTAAACCTTAATTAAGCCCTTATCCCTAAACCCGCGTTCCCAGACCCTAAACCCTTATCCCTAGGTCCTAAGCCCTTATCCCTAGACCTTATAGGGTTTAGGGACTGGGGTTTTAAAGTTTGGCTCGGGGTTTACTCTAGGTAGGATTGTGGGACATTTTTTGTTTTCCTTATTTGGGTTTATAAGGGACCCTATATATGATCCCGGTTCTCGGTTCACCGACCCTCTCTGCAAGCTTTTTCCACACGAGGGCTCACACGCCAAGCAGACCCATGCAGGAAACCCAAACCACACCACACCACAGGGGGGAGTGGGGTAACCAGCCTAAGCAGACCCACTCCCGAACCACACCACACCACACGGAGGGGGAAGCAACCCACAACCACACCACACCACAGCAGACCCACGCAGGAAACCCAAACCACACCACACCACAGGGGGGAGTGGGGTAACCAGCCTAAGCAGACCCACTCCCGAACCACACCACAGCACACCACACCACAGGGAGGGTGAAGCAACCCACAACCACACCACACCACAGGGGGGGGAGGAGGAACCATTGGGGGGGGAGGGGGGGGTGGCCGAACCGGGATCATATACAAACATTTTTCAGGGTGTTTAAAGGCCAACCCAGTACTGTTCGGGTTGCAAAAGCGTGGAGGATCTTGGATTTAGGATGACCCTAAACCCTAAAGCCTTAAACCCTAAACCCTAAAGCCCTAAACCCTAACCCCTAAACCCCCAAACCCCTAAACCCCCAAACCCCTAAACCCCTAAACCATAGGATGTAAAGCTCCGGGTTTCGAGCCCTGGGCTGAAAATTAAACTCCGTAGCTTCGTGCGAACCTTAACTCAAAGGGGAAAAGGAGGGACCCTTAATGGCGACCCCCCTACCCTATAATGGGCTATAATGGGTTATATAGTAGGTATATTAAGGGTATAGATCTAAGGGTCCTTATTAAGGGTCCCTCCTTTTACCCTTGGATGAACCCTTCATCCCTTGACCTGCAACCCCTGGGCTCCAAACCCTAAACCGTAAAGCCCGAATAAACAGCGCCCATGCCGCGAACGAACAGCTGCTTACCTCCATGCCAAGGTGTCAGTGAAAGTTCAACACTGTCAATCCCTAGGATGCCCAGTAGTACCCTTATTCCCTTTTCGTAGTCCTAGGTTCCTTATAAAGTTGCCCAATACCAAAAAGAGAGGCCTTTTTATTCTTAGGTTACTGGGTATCCTAGATCCTAACCTCCTCAAACTTAAAACCAGAATTCTAAAAGCTGAACAAAACCCTTCGAGCCCCAGGCCCTATTATCTAAATCGTCGAACCCGGAACCCTATACCCAAAACTGAACCTCAGGCTTTTGGGCTTTTGCGATTCTGTGGTGGAGCTGGATGAGGAGCTCCCACCCACAGAAGCTGTCAGCCCAAAGCAGTATCCAGTTATGGGGTGTCACGGTACACAGGGTGTTAGTGGATATAGGGTCTGTTAGTGTTTATAAGTGTTTGTATAGAGTGTTATGCATATAAATACCGCGTCACAGGGGCCTTTATAGAGATTTCACAGGGATTAGGATCCGGAGTTTGAAGAAGTGTGGGAGCTCGAAAATCCTAACTGTTGCGCAGGATTTATATCATCAACCGTAGTTGGGAATATGGACCCCTATACCCCAACCCTTATGGAACCCTTATGGATCCCTTAAAGGAACCCTATTTGGGCACATGGACCCTTATATGATTGCAGGAACCCTCAACCTTGATGTACCCTTATGGAACCTTTATATAATAGAACCCTTCAAGGAGCCCGTGAAGGGGCCTTTGTCTCTCTTTGCTAGAAGGACTTGCGGCTGACCGAAGATTCTCGGCAGCTCTCGACGACGCCCCCCGGCGGGTCGCAGAGCAACGGTTTCTGGTTTAGGGGTTTAGGCCGGGTTCAGGGTTTAGGGAAATTTCAGACCCCTCTCAAGGAGACCTTAGAATGTCCTCGTAGAGCCCTTTAAGACTGTAAAGGGGCCCTTAGGCGCTCACAGAAAGACGCAGGTTGCTTCCCGAAGATACCGGGACTAGCCATGGGCTCGCCGGCAGCGACTTCTTGGAGTTCGTTTGCCAGGAGGACCTGCCCGCTCCTGTAGGGTTTGAATCAGTTAGGGGTTTAGGGTTTAAAACAGTTTTGGTTTTATTAGGTTTCAGGGGGTAGTATTGGGCTTTGTTGGGTGGGTGTTGGCCAGGGGTATTGTGGGGTTCTGGTTTAGGATTTGGATGTGGTGGTCGTGCTGATGGTGGTGGTGGTGGCGGTGGCGGCGGTGTTGGCAATCTGAAGAACATGTGATTGTAGTAACTTATAGGAGTTCATGTTGGTGTTCGGCAGGTCTTGTTTGCGGGCGGTTGACGATCAGAGCAACCATCAGCATCACCGGCATACCCTGTCAGAGTGAGAAGCAGCAACTACGAGGAATCACGAGCAGCCATGGCCACATAACCGCATAACCCCCAAACCCTGAACGCCAAGCCCCATACTGAGAGGTTCGATGGATAGTGACAACAAGCAGGGATACAAGCCCCCTAACGTGGGTTATAAGTATTATTATCCAACTTATGGCCCTACTTCTAACCCCAAGGGTCCAAGTACCCACTAACCACATACTCTCCAAGAGCCTAACCTACATAACTTCTATCCTCATCCCAAGTATTTACCTGATTATTGGGTCCTTTGGACCCTTGGGGTAACTACCTATGAACCTCAAAGTTGTCATGAAGCAGCTCAGGGTTCCTCCTAGCAGTAGTTTGCTCGCAAGCATGACTTGTCCAATGTGACAGTCTCACGCCTTAAGACCAGAACATGGAACCTTACAATGAGACCGCAAGCAACGTCATGGAACTCTTAACCCCTAGACCCTTAACCCTAAACCTTAAACCGAGACTCTTAACGCACCTCGCAAGAAGTTGATTTCGTCGCCTCAGGACCGCACGGCTGTACAAACTTCGCTAAAGCAGGTCGGGGATGCCCTTCCATATTATTTTGCGGGGCTTTCATGGCGGAAACCCTAAACCTGAAGCCTTCGAAAACCGTACATAAAAGACACGAGGGTTCAACAAAAACTACACATAAACCCTAAGCCGCACGCCTCTTTCGGCATATCGGGGTTTGGGGTATAAAGGGCTTGTGTTAAGGATTGTTTAGCTTCCGACTGCCCCGGAGGTTGCTCTGAACCTTGACGGCTTGGCGTTTTACGACTAGTCACAGCAGCATGTTTGATCGCAGCAACAGTATAACAAAAAGAATAGACTAACAATTTCTATCATTGTTACCAGTAATTTAGCCGTCTTACAATATCACTGGTATCATTCGTAGACGTAGCCCGGTATAGTCCTCGCAGGGGTATACTACAATGTATCGTAATGCACCCCCGAAAGCTCTAGTCTAATTATCCAGGCCAAGATCCGAATTTGAAATAGCTTCCTCCCTACTACGAGGACCCAGGGCAGTTTTGAAGAGTTCACACCTCCTGCCGTCGAGCCTTATTCGATCCAAAGCAGAACGAGTTTTGCAAGGGGTTTCGGATTAGGCGGCTCACATACCTCTCGATGGTTCTTCATGGGTTCCCGCAAGGTCTGTATAAGGGGCTCACGGGTTTATGCTTTGGGGTTAGGTTTTATATCTTGAAGCCCAAACTTTCTATGGTTTGGGGGTTATCGGACTTAGCAGACAGGGTCTGGGTTTTGCGGCCTAGGGTTAAGGATTACTTAAAGGATCATGGTACTTAGTAACTAGAGGTATTATTAGGGTAACTATACTTATAACGCCAATTAGGGCCCGTATAACCTTACTTACTAAGTCCCATGATGCTCCAAGTAAGCCTCAACCGGCAGAACGAAGTCGCGATGTGGGAGTTTCCGAAATTTTGGGAACCTTATTTTGGGGTCCACATAATAAGGATCCTACTATTGAGGGTACTACATTCGGGTCCCCGATTTTCGGAAACTCCCATGTCTCTTCGGCCGCTCAGTGCGGGACAGGCCGGACAGGGCCCAACCCTGAACGCGAGGATGCTCGATTCCCTGGGAGGCCGGCTGCTCTTGCCTTCGGTTAGTAGGGAATGGAGGAGTGGTAGTAATAGTATTTATAATTGTACCCCATTCCTCTAAGCTGAGGTGGGACTGAGGCTTGCGCCGATTTCGGATTTAGGGGTTTAGGGTTCAATGGTTTAGGGTTGGGGGAGTGAGGGTTTTTTGGTTTGGGGCTTGAGGGCTTAGGGATTGCGAGCGATGTTTGAGGGTTTAGGCTCTGGAGTTTAGGGGTTTAGGACCACCCCAAACCCTAAACATTTTGCATTGCAACGGACAGCAGAGTCGACAGACGCGTCCCAAAAATCATGCATTGAATTCAAAAACTCGAACGGCAGTATGCACTCACCCCGAGGAGACGGGTGGCGCAGAAATCTGCCAAGCGAGCGCGGAGCCTAACCCGGCAGCACTAAACGCCAAAAGCCGCATCTCCAGCGCTCAAACGCAAATTACAAAAGCCATGCCTTGCCTTTTACACTAGCGCTTGGCATTCCCTTTGGCGAGCCAGGAAAGCGCCTGTACTACAGATCCCACGGTCTACAGTCCAAAACGGAAGAAAAGGTATTCCTCTACAACGGGCTCCATCAGGCGATCCTTTCCCCCAGAGCCCTCATACCAAGCCGCTGATTTGTGCAGTGACAGCGTGTGCACACGTCAGGGCCTAGCGAACACGGAACAGCTGTCCGAACAAAGTACACAAAATTGAAAGGGGGACTGCAAAGAACCGTGGGACTACATGAACAGCACAACCTAAAGAGCTGCGGCGATTGTTATTCCGCAACCTCCCTACACAAGGTCTAAGGAAAAAGAGCTGCAGCAATTGTCATTCTGCACTCAACACGTCCTCACTTGAGTTCGAATCAGCTGAAGACCCCTCACTCTTCAGCAGGGCATTGGCAATGATGGCATAGGCCTTTGGTGCCGAGCAAGATTTCACGTCACACATCTCGTCTGTATGAGCGTCGCTCCGCAGCACTCCGGTGAACGCATGGCCAAAGGTCAAAGTCTGCAAGCTGTTGGGTGGCTGAATTCCTCCAGGCTCCGGTTGAACGCATCACCAAGCGTCAGACGCAAGCTGCCGAGTCGTTGGCGGCCCTTTAGGCTCCGGTTGAACGCAAAACCAAGCGTCAAACTCCGCGGGCTGCTGGGTGGTTGGATGCACTCCCAGCTCTGGCTGACCGCATAGACAAGGGTCAAACTCTGAAAGCTGTTGGGCGGTTGACGACCCAACGGGCTCCGGTTGATCACGTCACGAAACGTCAGCCTCCGCAGGCTGTTGGGTCGTTGGCTGCCCACTAGGCTACGGCAGAATGCATAACCAAGCGTCAAACTCAGAAGGATGCTGGGTAGTTGGTTGCCATCTAGACACCGGCTGAAGGCATCATCAAACGTAGAACTCCGCAAGCTGCTGGGCAGCCGGCAGCCCTTTAGGCTCCGGTTGAATGTATAACCAAGCGACAGACTCCGCAGGCGGCTCGGTAGCTGGCTGTCCTCCAAACAGCGGTTGAAAGCACGGCCAAACATCAAGCTCTGCAGACTGCTGGGGAGTTGGATGCCCTCCGAACTGTTGCTGACCGACTCGCCAAACGTCAAGCTCGGCGGGCTGCTGGGGAGCCGGATACACTCCAAGCTGTGGTTGCCTGCATAGCCAAACGACAAACTCTGCAAGCTGCTTGGTAGTTGTATACCCTCCAGGCTCTGGTTGCACGATTCGCCAAACGTCCTGTGCAGGCTGCTGTGGAGTTGGATGCCTTCCAGACTCTGGTTGAACGCGAGGCCAGACGTCAAACTTTGCAACCTGCTGGGTAGTTGGATGTCTTCGAAGCTCTGGTTGACGGTACAGCCAAAAGTCAAGCCCTGCAAGCTGCGGGGAAGTTGGATGTCCTCGAGTAGGCGATCCCCAAGCATCGCGGCATGACCCTCGCCGAGCTTCCACACCACGTACGAGATCTCGGTCGTTCCCTTCTCCATTGGAGCAAATGCATGGGAACTGGGGCTCTACGACATGCCTCGCTGATGAGGAAATTCGGGCCCTCAAACCCTAAACCCTAAATTAAACGTCTTCGCAACGGAAGCAGCAGCGGCCACCAGCTCGCTCCACCGGCGCCCACCTCCAAAAAGCACCCAACCCTGACCTCTAGACCGTCTTCTTCTAGTACCTCTAGACGCCTCCCCTTTTGGTCGGCTACTAACCGACGAAAATGCTTCAGCACAAGTTAGTAAAGAAGGGGGTTGAAATAATTTTCAGTCGCATCAGGTCATAAGACCTTCCCATAATCACAGTTTTACACACCCGAAATCCTATTCTATTTCTTAAGACCGCTCTATCACTAGTATACCAACACGTCACGACATGGTTTATGACAAGCCAGCTATGCTGGCCCAGGTTTGCAAAAACAGCCAAACCATCTCTGAACCCTAAGCACGTAGGCCTGAAACGTCGGCACAGCGTCAGAAAAACAAAGAAGCCTAAACCCCAAACCCTGAATTCTGAAACATGTGCAGGCCGTAAAGCAGGTCAGCAGTCTCGAGAAGCTTTTCAGGTTTAGGGTTTTCAATCCCTGTCTCAAAGCGAGAGAGCCGCGACCCCTTGATCATGGACCAACGCGATGCTTATGCTTACGTGCTTTTCGGGTCCCTCAGTTTGATCATGGAAGTCAATCTTAGGCACCGCAATCCCAAAAGACCCCAAAACAGGACTTTCCCTTAATGCAGGGCCTTAATCATTATGACATGGTTCTGGGGGACTTAATGAACACGAGCCCTAAGAAACGGCTTTGTTTTGGTAATTAGTTGTGTAGGCTTTTAGAACATCTATGTAGGTCTCCCGGAAGTACCCTTTTGCCCTCTCATTTGGGGTCTTGTTAAAACCGAATCGAAAAAGGGTAGGGGCTACTGGGCAACCTTGATATTGAAGCAATTTACTCTAGGGGTCTCAGTGCTCATATAGTAGGGCTGTAAGACTCAAGAACAATCCTCTGAATGGTTTTTGGTGCCTGCAACCCTACTGTTTGAGTATGTGGACATTAGGGTTGCAGCAACATGCAGGTGGCAGCATCCGTGTGGAGCTGCTGCATGCGCCGCAGCTGGGACAACAAGACTGGGCCATCCTGGCTTCCCAATGCGGTTTCT